TTAGTATTCCATGTCCTATATTCATGCGTAGCCTACTGTCCACAATTACTCTGAGATCTTTTTCTTGTTCAGTTCAGTTAAGCAACGTAGTCCCCATCTTGTATCGATGCCTTTGGCTTCTTTTTCCTTGGTAGAGGACTTGTCACTTGTCCTCTTTGGATTTCATTTTGTTGGTTTCAGCCCAGTATTCAAGTTTATCAAGGTTGCCCTGGATGTTCTTGCTTTCTTCACAGATGTTTGCGGTCCCACCCAATTTTGTAGCACCAGCAAACCTTATTATGCTTCCTTGCACTTCCTCATCTAAATCATTAAAAAAGGTTTTGAAGAGCACTGGGCCAAGAACTTAATCCTGTGGCACCCCACCACTTACCTCCATCCAATTTGAGAATGTGCCATTGATGAGCAGTCTTTGTGACCCATTTAGCAGCCAGTTTTGGATCCACCTAATAGTTTTTCCATCTAGTCCTGCTTTCGCTAATTGGCTTATCAGAATTTCATGTGGCACTATGTTGAAAGATTTGCTAAAGTTTAGGTAGATTATGTCCACAGTGTTCCCTTTATCAATTTGGAGGTTACCCAGTCAAAAAAAAGAGATTAAATTAGTCTGACAGGTTTTATTTTTGATTAAGCCACAATGGCTTCTATTAATCATGGTGTTAGCTTCAAGATGTTTGCAGATGGAATTTTTTATAATTATCTGCAGAATTTTTCCAGGAATTGATGAAAGACTAACTGGTCTACCATTCTGAGGTTCATCATTTTCCCCCTTTTTTGGAGATAGGGAAAACATTACTCCTTATCCAAGCATCTGGCCTTCTCCTCTATTCTGAGATTTATCATAGGGAATAGCCAGTGGTTCTGAGAGCTCCTCCACTGGCTCTGTTATGACCCTGGAGTTCATTGGGCTGAGGAGATTTGAAAATGTTTATTCCACCTAGGTATACCTTGACCATTTGTCTGTCAATGTTGAACTGCCGTCTCTCACTTCCAGCTTGAGCTTCCTCTTGATTGCAGATTTCCTTGTTGAGGAAGACTGAAGCAAAGTAGGAATTGAGCACCTTGGCCTTTTCTTTGTTGTCAGGTATCACTCTGCTGTACACTTTAAGTAGCTGGACACCCTTCTCTTTCCATGTCTTTTGTTCTGGATGTATGTGAAGAAAGCTTTCGAGGCCTGCCCTGTTTCCACTTCCTATACATGTTCTTTTTTTCTTGTTGGAATTGTTTGTACAGGAACCTTAAGCATTTCCTTTTCCAAGATCTCCAACATGTCTTGGTCTCCTGGTCCCTTTGGAGTGGCTTGCTATTTATTTCTCATTGCCCCACATTTGTAAATATTCCCTTTTTTGAAATCCAGGGTACATGTTTGCCTACATTTAGTTTTAGCTTCCTATACTATTAACATGTATGGGTGTATGGGGTAATGAGGAAGGGTTAGCACCTCTGGTGTAGGGGCATTTCATGTCCTCTTAGGGCAGCTCATCCACCTTTGGTCCCCAGTTGTCACCCAGTTCTCACCTGTGGCTCCCAGTAGCTGTAGCATGTGCAGTGCCCACACCCCAGGCAACAGCTTAGACAGGCTGGCCAAACCAGGTTGAGGGTAGCCATTGGGTCAAGACCTTTGGTGAGATAGGGATTTGTCTGTCCCAAGCAAGTGAAAACAGACTTCAGTGGATTGAGTGGATGAAACCTACTAGAATAGGACCAAGGGTCATGAAGGCAGTTTCTGCAAGCGTTGTGGTATTCTGAGAGAACGCGAAGACACGAAGATGCCCTGGTCAACCACAGCACCCAGCCCATCTACAATCGTCTCGACTCTTCTGCCACTGGAGCAAGATTGAATCTGGGAAGAGAGAGTGAGGCTGACTATGCACACCTCTCCCTCACATTAATCCAATCCAGGCACAAGTCTTGAAATCCTAAGTTCTTGTTGTTGTTAGTGAGGAAGTCGTGTCCGATCCATCACGACCCCATCGACGACATTTCTCCAGGCCTTCCTGTCCTCCACCATCTCCTGGAGTCCACCCAAGCTCACACCAACTGCTTCAGTGACTCCTTCTAGCAACCTCATCCTCTGCTGTCCCCTTCTTCTTTTGCCATCTATTGTTCCCAGCATTAGACTCTTCTCCAGGGAGTCCTTCCTTCTCATTAGGTGGCCAAAGTATTTGAGTTTCATCTTCTCTATCTCCCCTTCTAAAGAGCAGTCAGGGTTGATCTCCTCCAGGACAGACCCATTTGATCACCTTGCAGTCCAAGGGACTCACAGAAGTCTCCTCCAGCACCACAATGCAAAGGCCTCAATCCTTTTGCACTCAGCCTTCCTTATGGTCCAGCTTTCACAACCATACATTGCAACAGGGAAAGCCATAGCCTTGATAATACGCACTTTTGTTGGCAGGGTGATGTCTCTGCTTTTTCATATGCTGTCTAGATTTGCCATAGCTTTCCTCCCCAGGAGAAAGCATCTTTTAATTTCTTGGCTGAAGTCCAAGTCTGCGGTGATCTTGGAGCCCAGGAAAATAAAATCTGTCACTACCTCCATTTCTTCTTCATCTATTTGCTAGGAAGTGAGAGAACCGGATGCCATGATCTTAGTTTGCTTAATGTTGAGTTTCAAGCCAACTTTTGCACTCTCTTCCTTCACCCGCATCAAGAGGATCTTTAGTTCCTCTTCACTTTCTGCCATTAGAGTTGTATCATCTGCATATCTGAGGTTGTTGCTATTTCTCCCAGCAATCTTAATTCCAACTGGTGATTCATCTAGCCCCACCTTTCTCATGATGTGCTCTGCATATGAGTTAAATAGGCAGGGCAACAGTATACAGCCTTGCCAAACTGCTTTCTCAATTTTGAACCAATCAGTGGTTCCGTGTCCAGTTCTCACTGTTGCTTCTTGACTCACATATAGGTTTCTCAAGAGACAAGTAAGATGGTCTGGTACTACCATCTCTTTAAGAACTTGGCACAATTTGTTGTGATCAACACAATCAAAGGCTTTAGCATAGTCAATAAAGCAGAAGTAGATGTTTTTCTGGAACTCCCTAGCTTTCTCCATGATCCAGCGTATTTTGGCAATTTGATCTGTATTTCCTCTCCCTCTTTGAAATCCTGCCTGTATTTCTGGTAGCTCTCAGTCCACATACTGCTGGAGCCTAGCTTGTAGGATTTTGAGCATAACTTTGCTAGCGTGTGAAATGAGTGCAATGGTGCAGTAGTTTGAACATTCTTTGGCATTGCCCTTCTTTGGGATCGGAATGTAAACTGACCTTTTCCAATCCTTTGGCCACTGTTGAGCTTTCCAAATTTGCTGGCATTTTGAGTGTAGCACTTTTACTGCATCATCTTTTAGGATTTTGAATAGCTCAACTGGAATACTCTCACCTCCACTAGCTTTGTTGTTGCTCAGACTTCCTAAGGCCCATTTGACTTCACATTCCAGGATGTCTGGCACAAGGTCAGTGACCACCCCATCGTGGTTATCAGGGACATTAAGATCTTTCTTGTATAGTTCCTCTGTTTAATCTTGCCACCTCTTCTTTATCTCTTCTGCCTCTGATAGGTCCCTGCCATTTTGGTCCTTTCTCATGCCCATCTTTGCATGAAATGTTCCCTTCATATCTCCCTTCAATTTTCTTGAAGAGATCTCTGGTCCTTCCTATTCTATTGTTTTCTTCTATTTCTTTGCACTGTTCAGTTCAGAAGGCATTCTTATCTCTTCTAGCTATTCTCTGGAATTCTGCATTCAATTTTTTGTACCTTTCTCTTTCTCCCTTGCCTTTGGCTTCCCTTCTTTCCTCAGCTATTTGAAAAGCTTCCTCAGACAGCCAGTTTTCTTTCTTGAATTTCTTTTTCTTTGGGATGGTTTTGGTTGCTGCCTCTTGTACAATGTTGCAAACCTCCGTCCATAGGTCTTCAGGCACTCTGTCTATCAGATCTAATTCCTTAAATCTATTTGTCACCTGTACTGTATATTCATCAGGGATATGATTGAGGTCATACCTGAGTGGCATAGTGCTTTTCCCTACTTTCTTCAACTTAAGCCTAAATTTTGCAACAAGAAGCTCATGATCTGAACCACAGTCAGCTCCTGGTCTAGTTTTAACTGACTGTATTGAGCTTCTCCATTTTTGGCTGCAGAGCACATAGTTAATCTGATTTCTGTGTTGACCATCTGGTGACTTCCATGTGTAGAGTCGTCTCTTGGGTTGTTGGAAAAGAGTGTTTGCTATGACCATCGTATTCTCTTGACCAAATTCTACCAGCCTGTGCCCTGCTTCATGTTGTACTCCAAGGCCAAACTTGCCTGTTATTCCAATTATCTTTTGCCTTCCTACTTTAGCATTCCTATCCCCCATGATGATAAGGACATCATTTTTTGCAGTTAATTCTAGAAGGTGTTTTAGGCCTTCATAGACTGGTCAGCTTCAGCCTCTTCAGCACCAGTGACTGGGGCATAGACTTGGACTATTATGATGTTGAATGGTTTGCCTTGGCTTTGAACTGAGATCATTCTGTCATTTTGGAGATTGTATCCCAGTACTGCTTTTCCTACTCTTTTATTGACAATGAAAGCTACTACATTTCTTCTGAGGGATTCTTGCCTTCAGTTGTATACCTGATGGTCATCAGAATTAAATTCACCCATTCCTGTCCATTTTAGTTCACTGATTCCTAAGACGTCAATGTACAGTCTTGTCATCTCTTGGTTCATCACATCCAGCTTGCCTTGATTCATGGATCTTACATTCCAGGTTCCTATGGAATATTGATTTTTGCAGCATCGGACTCTCCTTTTACCACCAGATACATAGGCAACTGAGTGTCCTTTTGGCTTTGACCCAGTCGCTTCATTCTTTCTGGCGCTTCTAGTACTAGACCTTGCTCATCCCCAGTAGCATATTGGACACCTTCTGACCTGGGAGACTGATCATCCAGCATTGTATCTTTTTGCCTTTTGGTACTGTCCATGGGGTTTTCATGGCAAAGATACTGGAGTGGGTTGCCATTTCCTTCTCCAGTGGATCATGTTTTGTCAGAGCTCTCTGCTATGACCTGTCTGTCTTTGGTGACCCTGCACAGCATAGCTCATAGCTTCATTGAGCTACACAAGCCCCTTCACCACGACAAGGAAGTGATCCATGAAAGAGTCCTCAGCTCTAGTAATCCTCAAAGTCCTGTGGTGATGGGTGAGTGATGAAGCAGAAGGTGTGGATACACTGGGAGCTGTAGCCATGGACCTTCAGATAGGTGGCTCAGGTCTAATGGTCATCTTCTTGCTGACCGAAGCAACAGCTGAAGTCAGTGTCTACCTCAGTGAGTGAGCAGCCCTCTTTAGGACCACTCTGCTCACCTCTGTAGCAAGAGGAAGTGGCTAGAAAAGGTGCCCTAAACATTGCCTGCTTCACAGAACCCTGGCCAGCTTACTGCGACTGGAGGGGATCCCATCTCATGTGGTTGAACAACAAAACTTCAAAAAAAAACACAAGGTAACACCACTGACTATCAGCACATGGAATGTACACACACATCAAGACAACCCCTCAGCAGATCGACCTGAAAAAAGAACAGCCCTGGTCGCTAGAGAGCTCACAAGATTTAACATCGATATTGCGGCCCTGTGTGAAACTCACCTAGTCAATGAAGGTCATCTCACAGAAACAGGAGGCAGTTACACATTCTTCTGTTGTGGATGTAGCAGTGACGAAAGTCGTGAATCTGGAGTTGGCTTTGCAGTTAAGAATCATCTTGTCCCTATACTTGCCAGTCTTCCAAGGGCGTGAACAACCGACTCATGACACTGCATCTCCTACTATCAAGAGAAAAGCAAGCCTCACTGATCAGTGCCTACGCACCCACAATGACAAATCTGGATGAAATAAAGGACAAGTTTTATGAAGATCTCAATGCCCTACTCTCATCTGTGAAGCGCACTGACTGTCTGATTATACTTAGTGATTTCAATGTGAGAGTAGGATCCGATCACTCTGCTTGGGATGGAGCCATTGGAAAAAATGGAATTGGCAAATGTAACAGCAATGGCCTACTGCTACTGAAGACATGTGCGGCTCATGATCTGATCATCACAAATACCAACTTCCACCTGCCCACTCACAAAAAGACATCCTGGATGCACTCACACTCCAAGCACTGGTATCTCCTTGATTGTGTCATCATGCGGAGGAAAGACAGACAGGTTGTAAGGGTGACCAAGGCCATGCCGAGTGCTGACTGTTGGACTGACCACAGACTCATCATCTCCAAATTAAGCCTTCACATCACGCCTAAGAGACATCCATAGGGAAACAAAACTGTGATGAAAAAGATCAGCATCAGTAAACTGAGGAACCCCAACACAGCAGCTGAACTAGCAGAAGATTTTGACAATCAACTCTCAGATCTGCAATTAAAGGAAAATGCTGAGAAGGCCTGGGAACGCTTCCAGGATATTGTGCACTCTTCTGTACTGAAGGTTCCTGGACCCTCACACAGGAAACAGCAGGACTGGTTTGATGAAAATGATGAAAAGATCAAGGCCTTACTTGCTGAAAAGCACCGCCTTCACCATGCTTATCAGAACGACCCATTGTCAACAGCTAAGAAAAATGCCTTCAACAACGCTCGCAGAACCGTACAGAGCAAGCTTCACAAGATGCAGGACTCCTGGCTGAATGCCAAAGCAGATGAAATCCAGAATTTTGCTGATAGAAATGATGCCAAATGGTTCTATGAAGTCCTCAGATCCTTGTACATCCTCAGCACTCAGGGAGCTCACCTCTACTGGACTCAGATGGTGCAACTCTCATTACTGAGAAGACTGATTCTACAGTGTTGGGCTGAGCACTTCCAATCCGTACTGAACTGCCCATCCTCCATCAATAATGAGGTTATTGACAGAATGCCTCAGGTGAATATCAACCACAGCCTGGACGCCACACCATCAAAGACTGAAACCCTACAGGCCAACAGCCAGCTGTCCAGTGGCAAGGCCCCAGGATCTCACACGATCCCAGTGGAAGTCTATAAGGAAGGTGATGCAGTGCTTGTCGACAAACTCACTCAGCTGTTCCAGTCCTTCTGGAATCAAGGATCCATTCCTCAGGAACTGTAAGACACGTCCATCGTAAACCTCTACAAGAGGAAAGGAAATCGACAAGTCTGCGATAATCATAGAGGAATATCACTGCTCTCCATTGCAGACAAGATCCTTGCACGTGTGTTGCTGAATTGCCTGACTGACCAACTGGAACAGGGTCTACTACTCGAGACACAGTGTGGCTTCCACAAAGAGCATGGCACTGTGGACATGATCTTCGCAGCCTGACAGTTCCAAGAGAAGTGTCAAGAGCAGAATTGTGATCTGTACACTTTCTTTGTGGACCTCACCAAGGCTTTTGACATTGTGAGTCGCGAAGGTTTGTGGCACATCATGTCCAAGTTTGGGTGCCTTGACAGATTCATCCTGATGGTGCCTCGGTTCCACAACGGCATGACAGCTCGTGTTTTGGATGACGGAGTAGCTTCAGAGGCCTTTCCTGTCACAAACGGTGTCAAGCAAGGGTGTGTGCTGGCATCGACCCTGTTCAGCATAATGTTTTCATCCATGCTGACAGACGCTTTTCAGAACATCTCCTTGGGAGTCAGCCTGAAATACAGGACTGATGGGAAACTGTTCAACCTGCGAAGACTCCAGGCTGTCACCAAGATAAAGGAGACTGTACTATGAGACCTCCTTTTTGCAGATGACTGTGCCCTGAATGCTGGATCAGAGCAGAAATGCAAGCCAGCATGGACAAATTCACAGTAGCATGCAAAAACTTCAGCCTCCTCATCAACACAGAGAAAACCAAAGTGATGCATCAGCCAGCTGCGAAAGCCCAACACCAAGAACCCACCATCACAGTGAAGGGACAAAAGCTGCAAGCAGGGACCAATTTATATACCTTGGCAGCACCCTTTCCCTCGCAGTGACAATTGACATCGAGGTCAACTGCAGAATCGCCAAGGCAAGCTCTGCATTTGGCAGACTGCTGACCAAAGTGTGGGACCGCCGTGGAATAAGTCTTGCTACAAAGCTTAAAGTCTACCGATCAGTAGTGCTAACTACCCTGATGTATGCCAGTGAGACTTGGACAGTATACAGGAGGCACGCTAGGCAACTGAACCACTTCCACACGACTTGCCTCCACAGACTTTTGAGGATCCAGTGGCAGGACAAGGTGCCAGACACAGAAGTCCTCTCCAGAGCAGGCCTGCCATCAGTTCACACCCTACTGATGAAAGCCCAGACATGCTGGGCAGACCATGTTGCAAGGATGCCAGAACACCACATCCCCAAACAGCTCTTCTATGGTGAGCTGTCTCAAGGAAAGCGATTGCACAGGGGACAAAAGAAGTGATACAAAGACATGCTGAAAGCCTCTCTCAAGTCCCTGGATATTGGCATCACCTCCTGGGAGACCCTGGCGCAAGACTGATCAACATGGCACACGCTGATCCACCAAGACTGCCAAACTTCTGAAGCCAGAAGGACAACCATAGCACAAGAGAAGCGAGCACTCTGTAAAGCCAGAGTTGCAAAAGTTGCAACAACGTTGCCCACACATGTCTACCTGACATGTGGCAGAACACTCCATGCCTGTATCGGCATTATCAGTCACCTGCGGACATACCGTGGACAACTCACAACCCATTCGATGTCAAGGTCCTCATCGAAACGATGGACGAACATCAAAGAACTCAAGTAAGGCACAGTCACTTTCTCCCAGAGTTTCCAAAGCTGCTGCCTTGTCCACTTTGTCTTCCCTGTTGCTTAGGATCAGATCCATACCTCTTGCTCCTATTTGAACTTTCTGTGGAAGGAAGTTCTTAATGACAGGTTGGAAATATCTTGAAGAGGCCATGTTTGGCAGATTTGCATCCCAAGAGGTATCTAGAATGATGATGTCACCCATAAGGATGACCTCATGCCACCTTCAAACTTCACTGGCAACATGTTTCGGAAATTGTCATACTTATCCACTCCTTGACTGAGTGGACACTAATAGGCTGCAACTATTACGCCCCCTTCATTCCTTTTTCTGTTTAAGCCAATCCAAATACCATCCATGGAGTTACTGGTCTCTTCTTACAGGAATTCTTTGCATAGAGACATATCTTTAAGATGAAGTAAAACCCTGCCTCTGTTACTTTGATTCTTTTTGCTCAGGTTACATCCTAACATGTGTGAAATCCATTTGTGGGAGTCTTCTCACCACATTCCAGTTATGCCTATCAGTCATCTTATACCTTTGTGTACTAAGAGTTTATGTTCTTTTTTTCCTGTACTTGGGTCCGTGAACTCCTCCCTGGCTTCTTTCATACATCTTCTTCTTGAATGGTAGTATTCAGCCTAGCTAGGGTTTCTTTATCTCTCGGAGTATAGTAGGTTCTGAAAACTGATGTGCCCAGATGTACTTCTCCCTCCCTGGTAGAATTTCAAGCCCTCCTGAGAAGCATCTTCATGTTGTGGCCAAGCAGATCCATTCCTTTCTTTGTAAGCTGCAACCCTCCACTTCCCAGTACTCCCTCTTCCAGGAGGCTTAGTCCATGACTCCAGAAAGCCATTCTCTCAAATCTAGAAAACCCTTGTAGCCAGGAATGCATGAGGTATATTACTTTTTCCTCTTTTTTTTCCTATTCTGAAAGCCAGAAGGATTGTTGAGAAAACTATCGGTGACCCAAGGATCTGAATTTTCTTCCATAAGGTTATCATGTCTGAAATAATCCCCCAAAAGCTTCTTCTATCAGTGTCAGAGGTCTCAATATATATCAGAAGGAAGGGATGTGTGTCAGCAGACTGTACAGCAGGGAATGTTCCAGAACTAGCACTCCTCTCCTTCTGTGGTTGCAAACTTGTTATCGTTTTCCATCCTTGATTGCTCTTTTGTCTCTTTTTCAGATGTTCTCACTATTTTGTGTAGATCTTTCAAAACAGGGTTCTACGTAGTCTCTTACTCAAATAACTTAACTTTTCTTGGGAAAGGAGCTAGTGAATTCTGGAGGATATAATAGGGGCGGGTGTTCCAGCCTGAACACTAAGAAGTGATTCCATTCTAGGTGTCCATCTAGTTACATGGAGGCAAAGGATTATGTCTCCTTTTGTGGGATGACCTGCACTCATCTTGGGTAACAACAGATAGAAACACGTTATTGTCCAGTATGAAAACATATTCCTCTGATCTGGGAAGACTCCTGCACTGTTATGCTTTTACTTGACAAATTCTTCAAATAAGTTTAATAAAGGTTGTACAACCAGATGTTTGTTGTGTAAATCACACTCGGGGATGCATCCTGACACACATTGGCTTGAAGAAAAACTTGTATCCATTCTGTGCTTATCCTCATCTGTCTCCTAATATTGCTCCCTCCATGACAGCTCAGTCATCAGGAACTACCAGCGCATCCTGGCTTTGGTGTTTGCCATCATGGAGCTCAACAATGTTAGAGCCCTCCTAACAACATGCTTGGTTTCAGCATCTATGAACATGGGGACCGGGTCAGACTAGTGCATTGGAACAACCTCCACCTGCTGTCTACACAGGGGAGAATGATTCCCAATTATAAATGTGACAAGCAGATGCAACTAATCTCCATCATACAGGCTTTTGACTCTAAAGCTTCATCAGACATTGCAGCCTTCATGGGCATCTTCAAGATCCCAGAGGTAAATGACTTAATCTGGAGATTGGTGAGGGTGACCTGCAGAATGAAGGGCCATCTTTGAGAACAGATTCATCCCTGTTGTGGATGATTCTCATTGATTCTGGATGAAAGGACAGAGACCTTCTCCCTGGTAGAAAATGCCATGACACCTCATAAGAAGAGGTCCCCATTGGATCTCAAGAGAGGTTTGCTGACAAATCCCAGCGAGAAATGGGTCTGTCTCACTGAGATGACCAATTGTGAAAAATATCAGCCATCATACAAGATTTAGACTCCAAATTGCTATCAGATATTGCAGTCAAGGGACATCTTCTAGGTCTGAGAAAGAATGCATTCATCTGGAAGCAGGTATGATTCATCCCTGCAGGGGGTGCTTTTCTTCAATTCTGGATCATTTGAGCAGGCGGCCTTCTCACTTGACTAGCCTACCTTGTGTGCACTTAGTGGAGATCTGGACTGAATCTCAGATAGCATTGGGTGAGAAATCCCAGAGAAAACCAGTTGAAAGAAGCATCGGTCATTCATGTGACAAATTGCTGAGACAGATGCAGCAAAGGTGCAATTCTTGACCAGAATCCCCAGCACCTCACAATGGGATATACCAGGCCATCAAACATCCATGTCCTTAAGAGAGCCAGGGTGGAGTCCTGTTTAAAAAATTTAGGAGGGTTGGCCTGGGACTCCTCCAGTTGGCCCAATTGTCCCCACTGAGCCCTGGACTTCCCTGGGTGACACTGGGCTAGTCACATACCCTCAGACCAAACTATCTTGCAGGATTGCTGTTGATATGACAGGACTGAGAGGGGAAGGAGAATTTTAGAAGTGACAAAGGAAAAAAATGCTGTAAATGCTAGAATAAGTAAAATAAGAAAATGGTATGAGGCAACCTCTTGCAAAATCAAACTTGACAAGCCAAGGGAAAGCAAAAGTATGACTCATGGGCTATGGTGGACATTCTCCACATGTGCTTGCTGTGGGCAAATACATGGCCTCAGTGCAAATAGGTCCTAAGTGAACCTGGAGCTTCTCTCCCAGAGCTCATCCCAAGTTCTTGCCAAAATTGCGCTCTGCCAGCTACATGCCTTTAGAGCCAAGCAGAAAAGTTTTGAAGTGAGGCAATGTCTTGTACTGAAGTACCCTAACTAGCATTTCTTTTCTATGTCCTGTTTAATTTGGATGCAAATGCCACCATTTCCACCCATTTCTGTCATTGGAGACCAGAAGTAAAGCTTCAAGCTCTGCCCATACATGCAGCAAAATGCATGCAGTAAATGTTCCCAGGGAAAGAGATAAGATGGCTTTCCTGCCATGGGTGGTCTTTTTGCCAGGGTTCGGTCATCATAGTCCTGACATTGGTAGACACGTCTGCAGCAAGGGGTTGGCTACCTTTTGTCTCTGCCTGAAGAGACCCATGGTGCATGGGATGAAGAGTGGGGAACCTGAGAGCTTCTGTTTATCTTTATGCATCCCAAGTGACAGTGTGATGCCTTTCCTACGAGAGCACTCCATGAGTTTCCATCCCCATGGCTGCTAGGGGATGGAAACTACATCCATAAAAGTATAATCCTTGTTTTCAAAAGGCAACAAAATATTGTCATGAAGCACAACCAGGATTGTCTTTCTTCATCTTTCCACCTGCTTGCAGCATGGGATACGATGAAAAAAGTCTATTTCTATCCTTGTTCCAGAATAATACACAAGAAATTCCTCAGGATGAGGGCCTAATCCAGCTACTGCTACATTTTCATTGGAACTGGATTGGGCTCCATGTTCATAGTGGTGACCATGGTGAGCAATTACTCCAGGAAGTGACCCCCTCACCTGCAACATGTCCACCTATTTCTGTCATTGGAGTCCAGGCCTCAAGCTGCAAGCTTTCACCATGTGTGTAGCTAGATCCATGTAGCAAAATGCTCCCAGGAAATGTGATTAGATCACTTTCCTGGCAAGGGTGGTCCTTCTGCCAGGGTTTGGTCATCATAGTCCTGACATTAGTAGACATGGCTGCAATAGGAGTGGGCACTTGCTCGTGTTTCTGGGAGAAGAGGCTCATGGTGCATGTGGTGGAAAATGGGGAACCTGAGAGCTTCCCTTTATCTTTGTGCATCTCAAGTGAAAATGTGATGCCTTTCCTGGGAGAGCACTCCATTGAAGTCCAAACATGGCTGCTACAGGATGGAAACTTCATCCACAAAAAACATGCTTGTTTTCAAAAGACATCCAAATATTGTTATGAAGCACAATCAAGATTTTCTATCTTCATCACTCCATCTGCTTGCTCTATTGGAAAAGATGAGGAAAAGACTATTTCCCTCCTTGTTCCAGATTAATCCACAAGAAATTCCTCAGTATGAGGGCCTAGTCCAGCTACTGCTGCATTTTCACTGGAATTGGATTGGGCTCCGTGTTCAGAGTGGTGACCATGGCGAGCGTTTCCTCCAGGCAGAGACCCTCCTCCTGCAGCAGAAGGACCTCTGTGTGGCCTTCACTGAAAGGTTCTCAACAACTGATACTGAACAGTGGCATGAAATAGAAACTGGATACATTCCTCCTGTGTGGTTGGAAGCAGAAGTCATAGTGTCATTTGCTGACAATGCTGCACTAGCACAAGACTTCTCCATCCACTCTGCAGAAATCATGTGGGCCACAAAGGTGGGGTTGAAGTGATCAGGCATGATGCATCTGTGGTCAGACATAATAGATGGAAACCTCCAGAAATCCTTGTTTTTCTCCGAAGGGATTTTATAGAGACCTCTGTCCCTGTGTTGCTGAGAGTGCTGTTGCATGGCTCCACAATGTTTTCTTTTCCCCTGGAAAGGTAACTTGACCTGCCAGGCATTGCATAACTTCTGTGTTGGAATGTCTGTTGAGTAGCTCTTCAGTGCATTTCTCTCTTCCAAATATCTTGACGTGTTTCTTTCCTTCAACGTAGACAATGCCCCATGGCAAGTGCATAGGGAGGTGCACTCTGGGGCACTGGAGAAGAGTTCTGGAGGAGAAGCCGGTCTGCTGCTACCGATGTGAGCGTTGCAGAGCAGGGATGTTTTCTACTTCTATAGGTACTTCAAAAATAAAAAGTCATGAACAAATGCAGGAGGTAATACAGAAAACAGCAAGCAGGGCCCAAGGAAACACGGAAGACAGGAGGATGATGTATAAGGACTGAAAGTTTTTGCTTTCTGAATATTGTCTTAAATTGTGAACCTCTGAGGTGTTTTAGTGTGCAAAATTTCAACAATTGCAGAATTGCCTATGTGTAAACAGCCTAACCGTAACCCCAAGAAAATATGAATACTGTCCTGTACAGTATATTTTCTATCCTTTCCATGGGGCATAAAGAGATGACCCTTTTTTCAGTAGCTATTGCTACCCCCTGGTCTCTAGCCTCAACACTAACTGCTCTCAGGAGAAAATGTAAGAGAAACTGTCATTAATATTCTCCTTTAAGTTTCTGTGCTTATTTGAAAAATGGTAAAGGGGAAAGGTTGCAGTACTTCCCCTGCTCTCACTTCAAATTGCATCATTTTCACCTTTCCAAAACCCTGAACACGGGTCTTGTCTAGGGAGTGGTCATTTGGTGAAGATGTGACACATTTTCATCATTTATATTCATGGTTTAATTCCCAAGCATTAAATATAAGTAATCAAAGGTGCAAGCTGAGCTAAGGAAAGGAGAATTCTGCAACTTTCTTTGAGGGCTGGACGAGCCCTCTGTGAATTAACTGGTGAACCTGGGCTCAGATATTTCACCAGCTCTTGATCTTTTCAGATGCAGCTCACTGTCTTTTGGCCTCAACTTCTCTCTTGCAGTTTCTTGTGTGTTGTCAAAAACCGTCATGCTGGTCATCGTCTTTATGGCCGCTAAGCCAGGAAACATGGCAAGTCAACTCTTGGGGAGACCACTGACACCCTCCATTGTGCTGATCTGTTCCCTTAACCAAGCTATGATCTGCATTGCCTGGTTGCTGACCTCTCCTCCATTCCCAAATGTGGACTTTCATTCCCTCTCTGGAGAGATCCTCATGGAACGCAACGAAGGTTCCGTCACCATGTTTTACACAGTTCTGGCTTACATGGGCTTCCTGGCTCTTCTCAGCTTCAATGTGGCTTTCCTAGCTAGGAATCTGCCTGTCAGCTTCAATGAAGCCAGGTTCATCACCTTCAGCATGCTGGTCTTCTGTGGGTGTGGGTCTCCTTTGTGCCCACCTACCTGAGCACCAAGGGGAAATATGCTGTGACTGTGGAGGTCTTCTCCATCTTTGCTTCTGGGGCTGGTCTCCTGGGATGCATCTTTCTCTCCAAATGCTACATCATTGTCTTGAGGCCTACTCTCAATAGCAGAGGTCATCTTGTAAGAAAAATGTAATCCTAACATTTAATGATTTTATGAAATTTTGTACATTATTTGGCACCTGAATAAATCAATACATTGAATTAACTTCTTGTCAGCATTGAAGTTAACAGTGAAACTCCCCACACAGATGGCTACTGCTTAAGAATAATCATGTTTACTCTCAATTTTAATGTGATCCTGTGAGCATCCTTTGATGGTAACAGGATTAAAGGAACATTGTATAATACACAAAAACATTTGGACAAATTTCAAATGTAATTTCCTGGGAATTCCTTAAGCATGATGACTACAATAAGAAGCCCCAGAAATGTCTAAGAGGATTGGGTGGAGAGGTTATTAAAAACAAAAGCATTTGGACAAATTTCTTATGTTATTTCTGGGAATTGTGTATTTGTGATCACAAGAAAATTTCCCTCAGAAATTAGTGCAATTTTGGGATGAAATTAGGGTTAGATACAGGAAATGATTCCAAGGAAAACTGTACCTTTGTGCGGAGGAGAGTTTGCCAGCACATCACCCTCCACTCTGATCATAGTTTCTGTGGGTTTAGAAATTTCTTACACTATAACTCAGCAGCTCCTGGCTCTTTCCGTCCCTTCCACTGTCAAAATGTGTGGACACAACTGCACATGTTAGGCCTCTTAAAGAGAATTTTGGCACCAACAAGCATGGTTTGCAGCTTTTCTACTTGCCCTATCCCACAACATGCATGATCTGATCTAGATCGGTTTGGTTTGGCTCGTCGTGGTCCTGAGAGCTTGGGATAAAATCTGTGTCCTGTCAGGAGTCAACCACTGTCAGAGAGAGCATTTTCACAGTGAGCCAGTGGTAGGTACAATGTTGGACCAGGACTGGGAAGACATGGTCTTGAGAGTGGAAAACAGTTTTATGTAATCTATATAAAAATTTTGTTCAGTAAATTGTGAAAACTTTGTTAGCCATAAAACTGCTCCAATATGCAGTTCAAAATGGTACTTGTAAAAAATAGGCATTTGTGATCCACTTTCCCCCATTCTACTTCTCCAAGTACATTCCATGCTTCTTTATGGTTCTGAAACTCTGAGCTACCTGTCCAGGTAGAAATTTTTCCTTCTGGGCAATGGTCACATCTGTAGCAGCAAACAGGCTTCCCTTCCAGAACTTTTCTCTATGCCGTAGAGAGCACCTCTCCACACACCTGCCAAACGGCATCTTCTAAAGAGGAAGAGACATGCAGCTGTGGACATTCAGTGACAACAACTGCACTGAATATTTTTCATCAGTGGAGTTCCTCCCTACATAATGCATGATGATCACCTATTTGAGAGCCAAACTTCTTCTGGATTCCTGCAGGTCACTTGGGACCATAATAAAAGAGGCTCATGTGGGAGGCAGGAATTGTAAAGTAGCAAATGCCTGTGTCCTGATGCCATCCAAGGGATGACACATCCTTCAGATCCCTTCCCATCTCATCCTGAAGATCCTTGCCTCCTGCTGTAGAGAGAATGGTTCAGGAGCTAAATTTATCCCTTCTCTCAGAACAAGAGATCATTCTTTGACAAAAGCTCTTTATTCTCCAAGGTATATCCAGCAAACTATAACCAGTGAAAAAAGTATCTCTGAGCAGATAGGCCCATCAAATGCAAATTAGAAACTACTTCTAATGGCATTCCTTTTGACTAACCTTGGACCCCACCTGTCTGGGAGTGGCTTCTGGGATCAGGCAAGCCTCCTGGCTGAAATGGTCTGGGTCAGCCCTTCTCTCCCAGCACCATGTCATGGGATCAAGGATGGTGCCAGGCTCCTCAGGCTCCTGCCCCATGGACCCTCCCAGCCCTCACAGACTCGTCCTCTTTTCAGGGTCTCTCTCATTACCTGGAGATGGGGGCCTTGAGATAATCTCTTCTGCCTCTTGCATCTTGAAATCTGGAGACCCCATTTCCCAGGCTTCACCCACCCCATCTAGAGAGCCCGGATCATCCTGATCCAGACACTCATGTGAGGAACAACTCCATCTTTCCTTCCCATCATCAAGCAACCAAGTCCTCCAATGGCATCCAAGTTGGGTGCCCTCCTTCTGTAGTTTCTCATTTGAATTGTGGTGCTGGGGAAGACTCCTGCCAGTCAGTCTTAGAGAAGATCAAGCCTGACTGCTCTTTAGAAGGCCAGATACTGAAGATGAAGCTCAAATACTTTGGCCACCCCATGAGAAGGAAGGACTCACTGGAAAAGAGCCTAATGCTGGCAACATTTGATGGCAAAAGAAGAAGGGGATGGCAGAGGATGAGTTGGCTAGATGGAGTCACTGAATCAGTTGGCGTGAGCTTCAGTGGACTCTGGGAAATGGTGGAGGACAGGAAGGCCTGGAGAAATGTTGTCCATGGATCGGACACAACTTCGTGATTAAACATCAACAAATATATTGTATGTTATCTTGTATATTTATTAAAATGTTTAACTATAATTATTTGTTAATGTTATTATTGATATTTTTATTGCAATGGCTGCCCAGAGAGCATTAAGTTATAAAGAGGCTTTTCTATAAATTTAAATACTAAAGAAATAATAGCATAATACTTAAACCATTGAAAGATATCATTTTAAATGTAGTTCTAAATTGTCCTTGTGGCCAAAGGATAGACGGATAGTCTGTTGAAATCAGATCACAATTCTGAACAATATCTTCCTTCCTTCCTTCCTTCCTTCCTTCCTTCCTTCCTTCCTTCCTTCCTTCCTTCCTTCCTTCCTTCCTTCCTTCCTTTTTTCTTTCTTCTGAGTGCCAAATTAAAGGGATTGTGACCTGTCCAATGGGGCAAAGCTTTAAGAACTGGGTTTATCTTGTAAGGTTAGATGGGAGGTGGTGGGGGCCCCATCAGTGAGGTGGTCAAAAAAGGTTGGATAACCACATGTTGGGGATTGCATAAGTGGAGCTGGCAAGAGTCAGGGGTTAGACTAAATGGCGTGGGAGGCCCTTTCTGAGTCACTGTTTTTCCATGCTTGCTTGTTTGTTGGTTTCACTATCACCCTGGTGTTACTTTTGTTGCTACTTTTATATTGTGCCCTATTCCCTCTTGGACGGGAACTGAGGCAGTTTACATGATCCACCTTCTCCCCTCTTTGTCCTCACAACAGCCTGGAGTCAACAACTCGATGGTGTGACTACCATGCCATGTTTCCTCTCTTCGTAACATAGGCCAAGAGTCAGTGACTAGCTCAACACCTCTCAGTGAGCATCATGGCTGAGTGGGGAGTAGAAACCAGAGCTGACAGCCCAACAGGGTAACTACCATACCATGTTTCCTTTCCAACACTTCAGGGCTTCCTCACAAGTTTTGTCTACACATATTTTCTGCAGCTGCACACCTGCATGGGAAGCCTCACAGAGAGGTCCATGTTGGGCAGTGGTCACTATTCCCTTTACAATTATTACAATCATGGTAATTGACACTTCTACTGCAGGGGTTAGTCCAGGAAATGCTTTTGGGACTACAAACGGAAACATCAGGTTCTGCGACAAGAGGAGGCGTTTTTTGTCACTGAGAACAGAATTGGTGGGGTGCACACACTTTCCCCACAGCTAAGGTTTGGGAGGTGCAGAGGCAGGGAACCTGCAGGTTTTGTGACTTGATCATCTCATGACTGGAACAAAAGCTCCTTTGCTTCTGCATGAGCAAAGGCACTTCTCCTTGCAGAGGTGATTTTGGCTTCTTCTCAAGAAACAACCACAAGGCAGGGGCTGTGCAGGGATGCCCCCCAAGCCTCTTCTGCTGCTGCTGCTTCTGCTGCTGCTCTTCTGGGCAGCTGGGGGCCAGCGAGTGGCAAGATGCCCCCTGAAGCTAAGTAGAGACCAGTACGATCCATGGAATCTCTTCCGACCAGGAGACCACCTCATCAGTGGTGTCCTCCCTTCACTGGAAGCAGTAATAAAACTGCGCTCCTTTCTCAGTCCTCCATTTATCCACATCAAAGTGTAAGTATTCCTCTTGACATGTATTGTGTGTCCCTGCACTGAGATCCGGTGTCCTAAGACTCTTAGAAAGGGACAACTGGGATGGATGGGCATCAAGCCCTGTCAAGTCCTTAGTACTTGAAAAAGAAACCTCCAGGTATGGACACCCTGCCATCTCTGCATTTCATGTTCCATCCCCTAACTCAGAATTCTGACCTATGATCCCTGCAGTTGTTCATCTTTCTAAATAGTTACCTTTGATATCAGAATAAAGAAGGCAGTTGGGGTGTCATTCTAATTCTAACAAACAATCCTTCCTTTGCCTCTTTATCTATCAAGCAGGTTCCTTATGAGTTAAACTTTTTCTCCTAAAGCAAATGAGAACCAAGGAGACACATGTCCAATGTGTTTCTATATAAACACCAGAAAATCTTTCATGCTGGACTCTGAGACCAGGATGGTGTCCTCACCTTTCCCTTGAATAGCTCCACCAATTTTACTTGGTTACAAACCTTAATATGTGTGCAAACAGCACAAACAAAATCACAGTTCATATTGTGAGCACTCACCTTTCAAAACTCCTTTCAAGAATTGTTCCAGTACCTCAAAATGGAAAAATACTTTTTTCCTTGAGATATTTCAGGGTTGTAGCAAAAGGAATGCAGAAGTGAAAATGGGGGGTTGGTCCTGCCTTTTTCCAGCTCTGCTTTCTAATTTTATGTGATTTCTTCTGAGAATTTGACTTACGGCTTGAGAAACAAAAGAGCAAGCACTGAATGTTCAGTCCGATGGCAAGGGGGATCCATGCTCTGCTCCCCACCATTAACAAGGGATCACAGCCTCCCCAGCCATGCATCACAGAATTAGAAATCCTATGGATGAATGCAGGGTAGTTTTTGTTGAGTTGAAAACCTGTGGTGTCTTTTTAAATCTGTTAACTGGGCAAAGCTGCAAAGGAGAGGTGGTAGGAAAGGATGTGGCAGCAGGCAACACATCTCTTCTTGGCCCCCCACAAAACATAGAAACAGAGTGACTCAGAAGAGGCCTCCTAGGAGTTGCTGGCTGGAGCTGGGGGTCAGACTAGATGGCCTGGGAGACCCCTTCTGACAAAGACAGACAGACAGACAGACAGACAGACAGACAGAAAGAAAGAAAGAAAGAGGGAGGGAGGGAGGGAGGGAAGGAAAAGGAAAAAAAGAAAAGAAAACAGAATGCAACTTTGAGCTCCTCAAGTTCATGGTTTTCAGTTTGTTTAGTTAGTTGTATTCAATTAAGTGTTTATATACTATTCAATAGCAGTGGAACTCTCAGAATGGTGAAGAAATTGAAACAATCAGAAATAGTGGGGAAGAATGTAACCCATCCTTTTAGCTGCACATTAAAAACATTAGTTTATATTATTCAACTATGCACCTCTGCATTTCCATTAATTTTAATTTGCCTATGAAAAACATCTATTTGCTGCAGAATTCAAGATGAAAACTACTTCTCTGACCTGGCCTTCTTACATGCCATCCATGAGATAAACCAGAATCAGGAGCTCTTGCCTAATGTCTCTCTGGGTTACAATACATATGAGAACTATCGCAACGTCAGGATCACCTATGATATCTTGCTGGACCTGTTGTCTCCTGGGCTGAAGAACATCCCAAACTACGGCTGTGGGAGACAGGGTGACTTGCTGGCTGTTGTCGAAGGGGCTGACTCAGAAATCTCCAGGCATATTTCAGCCATGTTGGGAATCTACAAAATCCCACAAGTAGGCATGAAGAGGGTGGCATCTCACAGCCCTTTGCTCTGGAGAGCCTTCAGCTATTCAAGAGTGGGCACAGCAAACTCCTGCTTGAGTCTCGCTCCATAGGACCTTTGGGCACCTTTCCAGTGATAGTGACCATATATAATGTCCTTTCAGTTAATGCATCACATGCTGTGTTTAGAAGAAGGTAGCCACCATGTTGGCTCTGTGAGCTGCCTAAGGAATGTGTAACATTTCCAACTGGTGAAGGCAGCTCCCAGGTCATCCAGTTATAAAATCAAGCAAGATAATCAGAAGGATCCAATATGCCAAAGCAGATAATTTACCAGAAAACTAAACACCAAGGAATGTGTGACATGTGCTGAAGAACCAGTTTCATGAAAGAAGAAACTTTCACAGGAGGAAGGCTGCATGGGGTCTCTGCAAAAGCAAGCAAGCGAGGAAACCCCACTAGGTGCTTTACGACTCTTTGGCACAAGGAAAGTCCTTCCCTCCCTTGCACAGATGCTGATGGGGGACCCTCAGGCTGAAGTTGCAGCTCAGGACTGAAATCTATCAAATTAAGGGCCATCTCAGTCTGCTAGTCCCAGGCCACAGGCCTCCTCCCCTCCATGTTGTCTCTGCTGAAGCTGGGGGTACTGATGACCTACTTGCACTCCAACACATCACCTCAGATAAAAGCTCCCTGTGGTTATACAACCATGACATGAGAACTCCTGAGTTCCTTCTGGCAGGTTTTGCTGTAACTACACAACTTCGGCAGAACTCATGTGTGAACTCCTTTTAGAGGAAACCTGACAACTCTAAAATTCTAAACTATCATTTATTGGGGAGAGGGAAGCACTGAAATACTTTTAGTTATAAAAAATCTCAAAGTAAAATGAGAAAAGAAGAGAATGTTCAAAGGCATCTTTGCTTAGGAGAAGTACAGTGCAGATGGAGACCTCACTTCCCTAGAAAGCTGATAAAATACAGAGGGGTTTTCTCCCCCAACCTATAGTATTAGCAGGCAGTGAGGAGCTGCTTCACACAACAGGCCACTGAGTGGTGGACGTTGCAGCCAACCCTGCAAATGGGCATCCAAGGGGATTTAAATATTTTTCAGTCTGTCAACTGATCAGCCACTTCTTTTCTTTACTGCTTCTCCATCGTTTTCTTCATGTAGTTGACAACGATTTAAGAAAAAGCATGAGGTTTAAAAAAAGTTCCTCAAACTGGACATTAGGAAATCACAGCAAGGAATACATTTCTGGAAAAAAATACACTAATCCACTTGTGGTCCTTTCAGGCTAGACCCATAATGACAGGGCCTGGCCTTCTTATGAGCTTCTGAAGGCTACAAATGGACAAGAAAACATCCTTCGTGTGCTCGCAGGACAAGAGGCTAGGAAAGATCAATGCTCTGGAGATGGAGAATGAAAGCAGACACAGGTCCAGCCATTAGTAGGAACAGAATGGAATTGTCTCTGGCCATGGGTGAGGATGTTCTGACTCAGGACTCCTAGATGATGACTACTTCCTGTCATTTGCGAGCAGAAGAACCGTATCTCTGAACACAAGTTGCTGTGCAAATGAGGCATGTCCAACTGCTGGCAACTGGTTATCCAACCTAGAAACTGGAAGGGGGACTAGATACACCTTGTGAACCCCAGAGGTCTGGCGGCTCCTTTCCAGCAGGCAATGAGCCAGTCGGGGGCGGGGGGGGCAGGTTAATTGTACAACTTCTCACTCTGTGTTGGGTTTGCATTCCAGAGCAAAACTCGTGTCTCTTTTCTTCCTTGGCAGGTCAGCTATGGCTTTGTCTCCCATGACCTTAAGAATAAAGGCCAGTTCCCTTTTTTTCACAGGGTGGTCCCCAAAGACAATGACCAGCACGTGGGGATTGTCCAACTGCTCCTGCATTTCAAATGGACATGGATTGGTCTCTTTTCTCCAGACAATGATAATGGGGAACGGTTCATGCAGACCATGACTCATATGCTCACGACAAGTAGCATCTGTGTTGCCATCTCTCTACGATTTCCAGAAATGAATGTTCATGCATACAACGTTCCCCTTCCATCCACTCTCCTATGGAGACAGGTCAAGGTCTTTGTTTACCATGCAGAAACTCGCTCTTTCAGCAGTGGAATGTTCTTTCTACAAAAAATGTTTGATCTATGGGCAGAACCTGCTCAAGGCAATGTTTGGATCACAACAGCTTTGTGGGACATTAGCTCAACAGTGACACAATTTTTTTCATCTAGGAAGCACAGCCATTGGTTCTTTTCATTCTCGATCCAGACAAACAACAGGCCAAAGGGGGCCAATTTTGATCATCTTGGCCCCTACATGTCAAAAGCATTTCGCTGTTCGTATTCCAAATATTCTTTGTCAGTGAAAGGGAGGAGAAGATGTGAGCAGAAGGAGAACTTGCCCCTGGAGGTGCTTCAACTGAGTCTGTCTGAAAACAACTACAACGTCTATAGAGGTGTCCATGTGATAGCACGAGCCTTGCACATGGCGCACAGTTCCACATTCAAGTATGGGAGAAAGGTGGGAGGAGAAAGACTGGAACACCTGAAGCTGCAGCCATGGCAGGTATTCCTTTTCCTTCACTGATCTTTGTCCTGAAAATGACAAAATCCATCACTGACAGGATCAAGAATGGCAGAAGCCAGGTCTAGCAAAACTTTCAAGAGGTGGATGTAAAGTGTGTCAGTCCCACGCAGGAGGAAGCCAGTTTGACGCTCCAATTTCTGATCGTCAGAACATAGGACTGTGTTGCATTCCTTTCCCATTTCCCAATGGGCAGTCAATAAGCGTGGTCCAACTGAGCTGGCCAGCATGGGCTGCCTGGTGCTGATAGTCAATCCACTCCTGAGTGTTCAAACAAACCATACAGTTAAGTTGCATGATGCAAATGGAGATGAGAGAGGGAAGGAAAGCACTAAGTGGCTCAACTGTGGTGGGCACAGGCCATGAGGGTAAAGTAGTGGAAAAGGAGCTGTGCTGACTTTGCTCCTCTGAACTCATAGGAGGGTCTCCAATTCGCCCCTTCTGGCTGGGATGGATTTCTTCAGCTCCAAAGATCCAGTTCTAGGGGCTATTCTGGCACTTCCTTTTCTCAGCAGGGCTAGACTATGAGAAGGTGTTGCCAATGGTTGCCCCCCCCCCCACACTACCATTTGCAAAGGGTCTGCTGGGGGCCCTGCCAGGCCATCAAGTGAGGCCATAAAAGCACAACCGACACCAATCTAGAGAATTTTCCTCAGGAAGTAAAATAATTTGATCCATTTGTTTAAGAAATTTGTGACCCAAAGTTGAGCAGAGAGGTAGAAAGTACAGTAAAACAGCACAAGCGATGTTGTGGGTTTCAAACTCAGTGAGGGAAAACGCTCACTTGGGATACCCCAACTTTCTCCAAGAACTTTCTGGGAAGTTCCTTCTCCATAGCCCTTAGGAGCCAATCTACCTGATGGATCTTCTAGGTCACGTTGTTGCCACCTGCTCAGCTCCTGGCAACCATATTGCATTTTGAACCACGTTTTCTAAATAGGGGTGCTTCCTCCAAAATCAGTCCAAAACGACAAATCTAAAGAGATCTTCCAAAGGGAAAGTACAGTTTGGGAAACCTGAAGCTTTGTCCTCTTGTCCGTAAATCCAATAGAATACATAGCAGCCTTTCCATAAGAATGAAGGGGGAAAAGCATGATTCAGGAATGGGTCTCACTTTTCCTTTGCTTTCAAAGGTTTTTGAACCAAATGAGCAAAGCCAGCAGAGCCTTGGAAGACACATGCTGCCCTCTGAAATAGAGACTGGGCAGAGCCGAGATGCCCAGCATGGTTTCTGCTCTTTTTTCTCTTTCCAGCTGCACCCTTTCCTGAGAAATGTTGACTTTTCCAATGCTACCCTGGATGGACTGTACCTGGATGAAGACGGGGAGCTGACGGCCAGCTTTGACATAATGTTCTACTGGCTGGATCTGCCCAGAGCCGCACTTGCTAAAGTTCAGGTCGGGGGTCTAGAGAAGCAGGAATCCCCACACCATCTGTTCCACCTCAATGAGAATCAAAGTGCATGGCATAACCAGGTGAGGCAACCTGTGTCTTCAAATCATATACACATTAAGGCAGGGTTCTCTACAAAGGGCTCATGGGCTGTGCATGCACAGAATTTAAAGGACATCGGCAAAGATCTTCTAACCCTGCTTCCCTCAGTCATTCCTCTGTCTGTCTGTCTGTCTTTTTGAACACTAAACCTCATGCAAATCCCAGACCCTTCTTCCTCTTCATCATCCCACAGCTGTGCAGCTCTGGAGCACAGGAAGACAAGGAAGGAATCACCTTCCTGCCTACGCAATGTTCTCTTGCCCACAAAGTCTATTCCTCTTTCCACCCTCTCTTTCTCTTGCTCTCACAATTCCCAGCCTCCAGCTTCTCAGATATTTCACCCACCTCTCAGCCTCTTTCCTTCCTTCTTAAGGATGTGTGAGGAGTCCACTCTGGACAATGCACACTGGACGTCTTCTGGACCCACTGATTTTGGCTTCCCAGACTCAGGGCTTCATTCCCAGCCTGAAACATGATTTAGCTGCCACATAGCTTTCATTCAGCTGTTCCTACATGCCCAAGGCCTCTTTCTTGGTCCTTCTCCACCAGATCACATCCCACCAGCTTCACCTTGGAGTTGGGAGCTCTTTGCTAACCTATGATTGCCTCTGCACTTGCTCACACTGAACTGCATTGGCCATTTTGAAGTCCCCTTCACTACTGTGGAAACATCCCATTTGAGCTCTTTCTGATGTATCTTCATTCTACCATTGCTGGATCTTCCTGCATCCCACTAGCACTTTCCCTCTAAGATTCCTTCTCTGTATTGCCAGACCCTCCCACAGTCAAGGTGTACCAAGAGCTGCTCCCCTGGATATGTCAAGGTGATTGTGGAAGGAAAGCCAGTTTGCTGCTATATTTGTGCTCCTTGCACAGAAGGGACCATCTCCACTCAGGAAGGTAAGAAAAGTGACATGGAACCTTTTTCCTTGAGTAGTAGTCTTCCACATATTTCTAAATGTAATCCATCTGTTTGCTGAGAGTTTAAAAAGACAGAACTCTGGAACACAGAAGAACAGAGAGAGAAATGGCTGATACCTAACAACCCTTTCTTCCTTTTCTTTTCATTTTTTCTCTTTCCTCAGATGCTGAACATTGCACCAGATGTCCAGAAGATCAGCATCCGAACAAGAAGCAAAATCGATGTGTCCTCAAAGTAACCATCTTTCTCTCCTATGGAGAATCTCTGGGGATTATCCTGGTTTCCATTTCCCTTTTCCTGTCTGGAACAACAAGTTTTGTGTTAGGAATCTTCATTAAGTATCTGGAAACTCCCATAGTCAAAGCCAACAACCGAGACCTTTCCTACATTCTGCTCATCTCCCTCCAGCTCTCCTTCTTGTCCTGCTTTTTCTTTATTGGTCAGCCATTGAAAGTCACCTGCCTTCTTCGTCAAGCAGCCTTCAGCATCATCTTCTCAGTGGCTGTCTCTTCCCTCCTTGCCAAAACCATCACTGTGGTGCTGGCCTTCCTGGCCACCCAGCCTGGAAACAGGGTGAGGAGATGGCTGGGGAAGAGCTTGGCCAACTCCATCATCATCTCCTGTTCCTGTGTCCAAGTTCTCCTCTGCACCATCTGGCTGGGCACCTCTCCCCCTTTCCCTGAATCTGACATGCACTCCCAGCCAGGTCTGATTGTTCTGCAGTGCAATGAAGGCTCTGTGGCCATGTTCTACACTGCCCTCAGCTACATGGGCTTCCTGGCTGCCACCTGCTTCATGGTGGCCTTCCTGTCCAGGAAGCTGCCTGGGGCCTTCAATGAGGCCAAGCTGATCACCTTCAGCATGCTGGTCTTCTGCAGCGTCTGGGTGTCCTTTGTGCCCACCTACCTGAGCACCAGGGGGAAGTACATGGTGGCCGTGCAGGTCTTTTCCATCTTGGCCTCCAGCGCTGGACTGCTGGGCTGCATCTTCCTGCCCAAGTGCTACATTATCCTACTGAGGCCTGACCTGAATACCAAGGAGCACCTAACAGCCAAAAAGGAAAATGGCATATAAATTATTTATTTATTTTTCAATTTATATCCTACCTTTTTCCTACAAGAGCTCAAGGCAGCTTACATCATTCTCCTCCTCCATCTTATCCCCCCAACAACAACCCTGTGAGGTAGGTTGGGCCCAAAGTCACCAAGTTGGCTCCATGGCTGAACGGGGACTAGAACCCAGATCATCTGAGTCCCAGTACTATGCTCTTAACCACTACACCACACTGGCTGATTTTTAAAATAGACTTTAAAATGTTCTTCAGGAAGAGTGAAGGACCTGATGCCTCCTCCTGAGGGAGCAGCAAGAGAAATCAGGAAGGTTCTAGTCAGCTTTTTTTCAATCCGGCTGCACTGACCAGTGGTTAATCCTCGGGAAAGCAGGGTCCCCACCTGGCTATCTGCACATAGACCAGCCTTGCCCATGACTCCCGTGGCAGCAGAGACTTCCTTCCCTGGATGAAACTCCAGGACTGGCATGTGCATTGAACTCACTCTTCCTGCAGATGGGATTTCTGCCCCTCCATTCTCTCCTCTTACTCTCTAAACAGGGTTTAGTGCTCTTTCTTTGCAGAGTTCAAGGTGTGTGGTTGTGTGTATGATTCACATTGTTCTGCACTGCATTAAAATTTTGAACCCCCTCAGGGTGTACTTTGAGCTAGTGTTTCATAAAATCATAAAATCTTTGTACTCTGTGTTACGACTTGTATTCAAGTAGACTCAAATGAAATGAAGATGCTAAGGCTGGATGTTTTCAATTCCTGCAAAGGGTCTTTTGCCTCTTTGGGGATCTGGGAGTGGAACACCTACATGGGTCCCAACCCAAGCACAATGCTAACACTGCACCAGATTCCTCGAGGAGACTACCCATCACCAAAATGTCTTCACTGGGTTGTCAAATCTCAGTGTCTTCCAAGCAGCAAAACTGCTGTCAATGTCCCACCACAAGGATATTCTCTCTCACACATACACACAGATTCCCTTGAACATTGTGGGGTAACAAGTTCCCCAGACTATTGTTGATATCACATGCTGTGAGGTTGCCTCTAATTAAGGAGTGGCTAGGAATGGAAGCACTCCAAGGCTGTCCTGATCAGCTCCTGACAAATCAGGGCTGTGGACTCCATCGTGGACTCCATTCATCTCACATCTGATCTTCCTCTTCTTCTGCTTATGACTTTCCCTACCATGATGGTCTTCTCCAGAAAATCTTGCCTTCTAGTGATGCGCTCAAGTATCACACCTTCATGTGGTGAGTGTGTTGAGTGCCAGAGAAGCTGAGAGCAGCATCATCAGGAGACCAGACCTCCTCACCTTGCTGGTACTTCCTTCTAGGGATGTGGCCACAGTTCCACACCCTTCTTCCCAAGTGCTACAGTATTCTTCTGAAGCTTCACCTAAATAAGAAGAAACATTTAATCACAGAAAATAAGATATGACTTGATAGATTGTATATATTGTATGTTATCTTCTTTACTTATTATAATATTTAACTGTGTTATTTTATTAACGTTACGATTTATATTTTCATTGCAATGGCTACTCAGACTGCATTATGTTAGTAAAATGCTCTTATATAAATTTAAATAATAATAACCAGAATAACAGTAATACTTAAACCATTGAAAGATATCATTTGAAATATAGTTCTCAGTTATCCTGGTGGCAAAAGGGTCAGCAGGTGAAATCGAGACCCAGTTTTCTCAATGGGGCAAGATGATAGTGATCTGAAATTGAGGGATCTGTCTCCACCCCCTTTGTTATGGTCAGATCACCTTCTTGTGAGGTTTGTACTTGGGGCCAGGATCACCTTCTGTAAGGGTGCAGATTCTATTAAGATGGTCTGCCCCTGGAGTCTTATGCATCCGGATGGATTCCTGTGGACTCTGGGGGACTTTCCAGTTGATTAAGCTGGTGCCCCTGTCAATCTTCTGGTTGATTTGTAGAATGGGGAAATGACCAGGGCAATTGATATGAATGCTCCTATGAGTCCTCTCCTGTCTTGCAGAGCCCGCTTGACACCATTGTACACGCCTGAGTTGCAGCTGGTGAAGCAGGCTGGGAGATGACTAGAGCACAGGTGGAGGAAATCTCAGGTTGAATCCAACCAAGCACATGTTAGAACTCACTAGAGCCTATGCTGTGGCAGTGAGGGTGGCTAAGAAGGAATTTTTCTCCACTTCCATTACATCCTCACAGTGCCATCCAGCTAAGCATTTTTGAGTGGTATGGGGCCAGTTGATGAGGCTTCAGATTGGGAAGCATTCAGAGCACCATCTGGACCAGCTTTGTTGAAAAAGATTCAACTCTTGCAGCCTGAGCATGTGGACAAGGTGCTTGGACTAGTCCAACCCACCACTTACTAATTCGACCCTTGCCTTTTGTAGCTACTCATCGGAGTCATGGACGTGATATGCACCTGGGTCCAGGAGGTTATCAATGCCTCTCTGATGGAGGGTCAGGTCCCTGTCCCTTTGAAGGAGGCAGTGATCAGGCCTGTGCTGAAGAGAGTTTCCCTGGATGCAGAGATAGCTGCTAATTATAGGCTGGTAGTTAATATCCCATTTCTGGCAAGGTGCTTGAGTGGGTGGTGCCCAGATAACTCCAAGCACTCTTGGAGGAAATGAAACATCTTGAGCCATTTCTATCTGGCTTCAGGCCTGGCTACAGAACAAAAACTGCCTTGGTCACCCTGTATAATGACCTGTGCAGAGAGAGGGACAGGGAGTGCATACTTGCTGGTGTTCCTGGACCTCTCAGTGGCTTTTGGTACCATCACCCATGCTATCCTTCTGGATAGGCTGACCAGGTTTGGAGTTAGAGGTACTGCTCTGCAATGATTCCACTCTTACCTGTCTGACTGATTCCAGAATGTGGTGCTTGGGGATTATGGCTCTGCACCACGGCAATTTTGGTTCCCTTTTATCCCCCTTGGTTTTTAACATCTCCATGAAACCGCTGGGAGAGGGCAACTGTAGGTTTGGGGTGCAGAGGCATCAGTACACTGATGACACCCAGCTCTACCTCTCTTTTACATCTAAACCAGGTGAGGTAGTGGCTGTCCTTAACTGGTGCATGGCCAGGGCAATGGGTTAGATGAGAACCAATAAACTGAGGCTCGATCCAGATAAGATGCAAGTCCTGCTGCTAGGGGGTTCAGCCTTCCATGTGAGTGACAACTGCCCTGTTCTGGATGGGTTTGCACTCCCCCTAAATGAAAGGGTGCAAAGTGTGGAAGTGGGCCTTGATTTGGAGCTGTCCCTTGAATTCAGGTGGCAGTGGTGGTGAGGAATGCTTTTCTCCAGCTTCAGCTGGCCTACCAAGTGTGCCCTTACCTGAATGAGCGCTGCCTTGCAACAGTGACCCACACTATGGTAACTTCCTGACTGGATTATTGTAATGCGCTCTACTTGGGGCTGCCCTTGAAGATGGTCCAGATACTTCAATTGGTTCAGAACAGAGCTGCCAGTCTATTAATGGGTACTGGCAGGTATTCACATATAATGCTGGTCCTCTATCATCTACACTGGCTACTGATTGAATTCCAGGCCCAATTAAAGGTGCTGGTGTGGACCTATAAAGCCCTAAATGACTTGGGTCCTGGATACCTGAAGGAGCACATTCTTCCATATGTGCCCTCCCGTCCTTTGAGATCGGAGGCAGAGGTCCTTCTTCAGGAGCCCTCCTTGAAAGAGATTAGGAGGGTGGGAACCTGGAGGAGGGCCTTCTCAGTGGTGGCTCCCTGATTGTGGAACACGCTCCCCAGAGAGGTTCACCTGGCACCAAGACAGTTTTCCTTTCTGCACCAGGTGAAAATCTTTTTATTGTCCCACTATTTTAATTGCTAATTCTCTTAATCTGTGGTTTTATATTTACTGGAAGCTGTGCTACTTTTATATTTTTATCTGATTTTCCTCCTGTTATTGTGAACCATCCCGAGATGTCAGTGATTGGACATTATACAAAAGTTATAAATAAATAAGTTAAAAATATCAGCCCACACATCTTCGTTGACTCCTGGAGTGCGCCAGCAGCAAAAGGTTCCACTTTGTGAATCATACAAAGCTCTGGACACTCCTGAAAGAAATGAGGGTGCCTCAGAACTTGACTGTCCTGCTGCATCCTGTCCTGTCCACCCATATCTGGACACAAAGCTTCTGTGAGGAGGGAACATGAAGAAGCAGAATGGCTTCTTGCAGGCCAAGGGTTTATTTCACCATGGAAAAGTCCTGATAACAACCCAGCTGTTTTAAGAGCAGAGTTAAGAGTAATGCTTGTTGGTCGAGCTGCACAAGGGCAGGAGACGAGAAGCTAAGCCTGGAGCCACAGCTGGTATTCCCAGAGATCAGAGAGGGTGTTGTGCAGAGTCACACATTGTGTTGGCTTACAGGTTGCCCTGCATGCACCTCTCCTCTAAAAATGCCTTTATGCACATCTTTTCAGTTTAGCATGCTTACAAGTGACAATTTTGCAGATTGGGTTCACATGGATGTTCCTTGACATAAAGCATTAATCTGGTGTTGTTGTTGTTGTTTTTGCTTCCTGGAATCTTGTTTAGAAAGCCATTCTCTCCCTTCAAGATAGCTGAACTGGATTTTGGAGATTAATTGGGAGTTGTGGTTCAGAGGGGGAACTGGACTTTTCAATTCCCTTATTGGACTTCTGGATGGACGTGAGTGGATGGAGTTTCATCCACAATTAGAATCTCTGGTCATGAACAGCTTGAAGAAAGCAGGAAAATGTGGATCGAGGAGAGGAGAGGAGAGGCCAAAGGGTGGACCTGTAAGTGGAGCATGAGCTCACCCCATAACGCAAGGGCCCTCTGCTCCTCAGGAAATGCCAGATTTTGGAATTCATTTGTGAGAGCACCCTTCCTCTTTAGCCCTCAGCCACACCTGGCTCTGCAGAACATGAGAAAACATAAGTTTTGGAACTTTTTGGTAATCCAGATGGAAGAGGATGATTTTCTTGGGAAATCATTCACAGCACCTTCGACACTTTGGAAATATCTATTAACTGTGCTGTCCTCATTTTATTCTTTTATTTGCGATTAAGTTTAAATTTTCTGTTTTTAATATGTATATCCAGGCCTTCAAGTAAATTTTTGAAGTTGCCAAATTCTGGAGAGATTTTCCTTGTTTGGTTGTCTGGCAGCATGAGATAGCTAGGTTAGGACCTGTTCAGCACAGGATCACAAGGATGGCGGCCAGACTGGGAGGGGTGCCATATGAGATGAAGGGAGCTGGTCCTTTTCAGAGTTGAGGAGGCTCCAAGGCAATCTATACATATGTGAAGGGGTGTGACATGGAAGAGGATGCTGGATGCAGGGGTCAGACTAGATGGCCCAAAAGTCTCCTTCTGATTTGTGCAATTTCCATGTTTGTTTGCTTGTTGGTTTCACTAATGTTCACTCTGGTACTTCTGCAGTTCTCGCTTTCATATCCTGCCCTTTTCCCTCTTCAAAGGGGACCAGGCATGCCTCATGGTCCACCAACTCCCCACGTTATCCTCACAACAGCAATGTGAAGTAGGAAAGGCCAATAGGAAGTGACTGGCTCAATGGCCCCCAAGCCAGCTTCATGGTTGAGTGTGGACTAGGACCTGAGGCCGACAGTCCATTGCTATAACCACCACGCCATGTTGCCTCTCTGGGGATTCAGGGCTTCCTCAGAAATTTCTGCAAAAATATTTTCTGCACCAGCAGTCCTGCACAGGAAGCTGCACAAAGAGTTGCATGTTGGGCAGAAGTCCCCCTGCACTTTGCAATTATTATACTCATGGTAATTGGCACCAGCACTCCAGGGGTTATTCCAGAAAATGCTTTAGGGAGTAGACAAAGAAGCAGCAGGTTCTGCTACAAGAGAAGGCATTTTTCAACACTGAGGTGCACACTCTTTCCCCACGGCTGAGGCTTGAGAGGTGCCTGACAGCAGCCAGGAAAGGTGCAGGAACGCAGTTGAATAATCTCTTTGGACCAAAAGCTGCCTGAGCAACTGCTTGAGCAAAGGCACTGACAGCTGCCTTCTTCTTGCAGGAGCCAATTTTCTTCTCAGCGAGGGGCCACAAGTTAGGGACCTTGGCAGGCATGTCCTACAAGCCTGTGCTGTTGCTCCTAGTTCTCCTGCTGCTCTTCTGGGCAGCTGGGGGCATGCAAGCAGCAAGCTGCCCATTGAAGTTAAGGAAAGATGAATATGATCCATGGAATCTCTTCCATCCAGGAGACCACCTCATCAGTGGGGTCCTCCCCTCAGTGGATGCAGCCATTAATCTGCTCTTCTTTGTAAAACCTCCAGTTATCCGCATCAGAGAGTAAGTCGTCCAGAGATGTATTTTGTGCTCTTCCATTCAGGTCTGATTTCTTAAGACAGCCCAAAAGGTATAGAAATGATATACTGGCGTAAAGCCACATTGAGTCCTGGGTTCCTGAAAATTAAGCCTTCTTGTAGGGAAATCCTGCCATCTCCATGTTTCAAGCAATATCCCATAATTTAGAGAACTGACCTATGATTTTTGCCATTGCTGATCATTCTTCCCTGGTCCAGGAGTTCTTACCTTCACCTTGATTTCCAACACAATAACAAAAAATTGGGTCAACTGGTCCTGCCCTTTCCAAGGTCACTTCAAACTTAATGTGATTTCTTCTTAGCGTGTTACTTAAGGCTTGAGAAACATGGTGTGCCAGAAGCACCACCTTCTTGCAAAGGTCTTGCAAGATGCCTGGTTGAAGTGTTCACACCTTGCCTTGGTCTCCACTACCTTCTTTTCCTAGTTCCCCAAATCATATTAGCTCATGGATATTCCTTGGTCTCCGAAAATCTCCATCAGCCAAAATCCTCTGGGTGGTTCACCACCACTAAATCTCTAAAGAAAGTAAAACAATGAAATGCTGGGGCTTCATCCAATCCAAAGTGGATATTCCTTTTTCCCTGGGAAATCCAAAAGGAAGCTACTATGAGAGGAATTTTTTGCTACTTTCCTTCTCAAATCATAATTCCCATTACCTTGCTGAGTCCACTCAAACACTGCCTGGTTGTCTAACGAGATCAGTTCACTGGCGCAACAGAGGAGGTGGTACTAAAAGGTGCGGGATCAGGAAAGGAATTTCTTCCAGACCCTTCATACAACATCCAGGAGAAGGAGAACAAGGGAGAGTTAAGGGCATCTGAGGCACTGAGGGATGAGATGATTCCCTCCGCCCCCTGCCTGCAAGAAAGGGCAGCCAAGCTCCTGGGCTCAATTTGCCACTGGTTACTTCCATTGGTGGCAATGCACCTTACATGGGAGTAAGGACCTTCAAGGGAATGTGATTTTCTTCTGAGTAGTCATGCATTTCAGCTAGTTCTTCCTCCTCGCAAGAGGACAAAGCAGACAAGCATAAAGTTGGAAAAGACATTGCAAAGATTATGATTTTTTTTTCAAAGGCTCAGAAAGGGTAAGCAGAGCACTTACTATTCCTGGAGCAGAGGAGCTGAAGGATGAGTCAAGGCAGAAGCAAAACAAGTGCTTCAAAAGGAGAGAAATGGGGCCATCTTACAGCAGCATCATTTCTGAAAATGTGGCATGGCAAACCACAGGAAGACGAGCAGGAGAAGGTGTAGACCAGGGTCTGTTTCACACAGAATCCTGCTGACACCAGAACAAGGCTCCTGCCAACAGGAAGTGGGAACACCAGTGCTCTAAAACCCAAGTTGCACAGCAAATGGCCTCCAATACCACAAATACTAACATAATGATGAAAAGTTGAAGAGCTTTCAAAGGTATTAGGAGAACTTTGCACCAGATGGATGCTTGTTATGCTCCAGAATTACTCTTCTTAATATCTTCTCCTTCCAGACCACTTTCCTCAAATTATGCTGGTTCCTGGGACACTAGATATATCATAGGTTTCCACACACTCTGGGGTGTCTCTGGCCAGCTCAGAGGGCTTTTGCTGCTGAATCTGGCCCCTCTGTCCAGCAGATGCATGTGGTCAGTGCAGCCATTCTTTCAGGAGGACACGGCTTGCTCCCATTCTCAGAATTGGAGGCTTCACCCAGATGCCACCACCAGGGCTTAGGCAGGGGGAAGTCTCCAGGGAAAGCAGAAAGTGCCACCAGGGAGCAAAAATGAATGCAACCTTGCACTCCTCAAGTCCATGATTTTAAGTTTATTTAGTTATATTTGGTTAAGCTTTTACATACTGTTCATTAGCAATGGAGCTCTCAGAATGAAGAAGTTGTTGAATGAACAAGAAAGAGTGGGAGAGAATGTGCCACAGGGTTCGGTTATATTACTTAAACTGCATTTATATTTATATTAAGGTATCAATGAAAAACATCTCTTTTGCTGCTGCAGAATAAAAGGTGTAATCTACTTCTATGACCTTGCCTTCTTGCATGCCATCCAAGAGATCAACCAGAATCCAGAGCTCCTACCCAACATCTCTCTGGGATACAGCATCTACAATAACTTTTACAACAGCAGGATCACCTACGACATCATGCTGGACATGCTGTCTCCTGGGCAGAAGAACATCCCAAACTACAGCTGTGGGAGCCAGAGAGACTTGCTGGCTCTTGTGGAAGGGGCTGACTCAGAAATCTCCAGCCATATTTCAGCCCTGTTGGGCATCTCCAAAATCCCACAGGTATGTATGGAGAGGATGGTGTCTCCGAGCATTTTGCTTTGGAGAGCCTTCAGCTTCTTGAAGTGAAGGCATAGGAGCTTCTGCACTCCACAGGACTGAGAGCACCTTTCCTGGAGGCCAGGAAGCACCAGGGGGCAAGGTCTATGTTTTTAGTTCTAGAACCTCTCATTCTGTGTTAGGGTTTGTGTTCCAGAGAAAAACTTGGGTCTCTTTTCTTCCTTGGCAGATCAGCTATGGCTTCGTCTCCCATGACTTTAAGAATAAAGCCCGGTTCCCTTTTTTTTACCGGGTCGTCCCCAAAGACAGAGACCAGTACTTGGGGATAGTCCAGCTGCTCCTGCATTTCAGATGGACATGGATTGGCCTATTTGTTCCAGACAATGACAATGGGGAATGGTTCATGCAGACCATGACCCCTTTGCTCACATCCAACAGCATCTGTGTTGCCATCTCACTGCAGTTCCCGGAAAGGAATCGTCCTGGAATCAGACTCGAGTTTCCTCCCACTTTCCTATGGAAACAAGTCAACGTCTTTGTTTTCTATGCAGAAACTCGCTCTTTCAGTGGTGGAATGTTTCTTCTACAACAATTGCTTCGTCTGTGGGCACCACCTGCTCAAGGCAAGGTCTGGCTCACAACAGCTTTGTGGGACATCAGCTCAATAGTGACCCGCAGATTTTCCTCTTGGAAGAACAGACATTGGTTCTTTTCCTTCTCGATCCAGACAAACAGCAAGCACAAAAGGGAATATTCTGATCATGTTACTCCCAATCTGGAAAAATCATTCCACTGTTCATATTCCAAATATGCTTTGTCAGTGAAAGGGAGAAGAAGATGTGAGCAGAAGGAGAAATTGTCCCTGGAGCTGCTTGAACAGAGTCTGTCTGAGAACACCTACAATGTCCATAGAGGTGTCCACATGGTGGCACAAGCCTTGCACATGCAGCAGGGTTCCACATCAAAGCATAGGAGAAATGTGGGAGGAGACAGGATGGACCTTTGGAAACTGCAGCCATGGCAGGTACTCCCTTCTCCTTCACAGATCCCATTCCTGAAACTGACAGAATTAATCACGTGCAGGATCGAGGCTGGAGGAATCTAGGTCTTGCCAGAGGTGGACACAAAACATGTTGATCCCTCAGTAGAAGCCATTTCATGCTCCAATTTCTGATGACCAGAATATAGGGCTAGTTTCATTCCCCCCAGGCACCCGTTCCAATGGGAACTGGCTGGTTCTGATGGCCCATTCAAGTTTGGGGTTCAGAAAGAAAGTGAATCCAGGGAAACCATAAATTAAGTTTCATGATGGTAAATGCACAGGGAATGAAGAAAAGAAGCACTCAGAATCTGACTGTGGTGGGCACAGCCTGTCATGGGCAAGGGCAGGAAAGCAGGCAGTGCTGACTTTGCTTCTCTGAACTCATTGGCAGGGTTCCGAAAAGGCATCATCTGACTGGCTTGGATATTTTCGGTGCAAACATAGCATTCCTTTAATATTGCCAAGGTTACACTGCACCTCCCGACCCCAGCAGGGCTGAACTAAGAGAAGCAGTTTCCACTGGGAGTTCACCACCACCAGCACCACCTTCAAAGGTTTTGCTGGGAGTAGTGCCAGGCTTTAGGTGTGTGCATCAATTCGCTGCAGTGTGCCCATAAAAGGAAAAGTGACACCAATTTAAAGAATGCTCCTCAAGGTGCAAACCTAAATTGATCCATCTTTTTCACAAAACTTGATTCAAACATGAGCAGGGAGGTGAAACATGGAGTGAACACCACAAGTAATGTGGTAGAATTTGAACATAGTGAGCAAAAACCCTCTCTGGGGGCATCCAGACCTTCTCTAAGAACTTTCCTCCAAAAGGAAAGTTTCGAGGAAAGTTTGAGAAGTTTGGAGGAAATTTTGGAGGAAAGTTAGAGGAACCCTAAACTTCGTCAGCTTGTCCATAAATCATCCAAAGACATACATATCAGCCTTTCTCAAAGGATGAAAGGGAAAAGGGGGGACTCAGGAATGGGCTTCCTTTTTGCTTTGTTTTCAAATGTATTTGAACCAAAGGAGCAAAACCAGCAGAGCCTGGGAAGAAACGTATTGAGATCAAGGGAAAAGACAGGACCAAGATGACCTGCAAGGTTTCTACTCTTCTCTCTCTTTCCAGCTGCACCCTTTCCTGAAAAACGTTTGGTTTTCCAATGCTTCCTTGGATGGACTGTACCAGGATAGGGACGGGGAACTGACAGCCAGCTTTCATATAGTGTTCTACTGGCTGGATCTTCCCAGCGCCTCACTTGTTAGAGTGAAAGTCGGGGGTCTGGAGAGGCAGGAATCTGCACAGCAACTCTTCTACATTGATGAGAATCCCAGTACATGGTGCAACCAGGTAAGGCAATGCATTTCTTCAAATATTATACAAATTAAAGCAGGGTCACTAATAAGTAATTCCTTTGCTGAGGGGTGCATGCAGTGAACCTAAAGAATGTCTACAAAGTTCTCCACAACTGCTTCCCTCAGTCATTCCTAATTCTTTATTTTTTAAGAACACTGAACCACATTAGGTAGCCAGACCTTTTCCCTGTTCCTCAACCCTCTGCTGTGCAGCTCTGGAGCACAGGAAATGCAAGCAGGAATCTCTTTCTAGCCAACGAAATCTTCTCCTGCCCACACAGACTATTCCTTTTTCCAATGTCTCTCTTGCTCTCTGAATTCCTATAATGCAGCCTCTCTGATATTCCCCCCACTTCTCAGCATCTTTCCTCCTTTCTTAGGGAAGTGTGGGGGACCCACTCCGGAGAATCCACATGGAAAATCTGCTGGATCCTCTGATTTTGGCTTCCTGGACTCCTGGCTCCATTCCTAGCTTGAAAAGAGGATTTACTTTTTGATAGCTGCCACATCCTTGTGAACATTTCACTGGGCCCCTACTTCAATCAGAGATCTCTTTCTTGGTAGTTCTCCACCATGACACATCCCATCAGCTCCAGCTTGGACTGGGGAGCTCTTTGCTCATTTATGGATTTCTCTGCACTTGCTTGAGATGAACTGCATAGGCCATTTTGAGGTCCACTTCACTAGTGTGCAAAGATCCCGTTACAACTCCTCGTGATGCTCCTTCATTCTTCCATTACTGGATTGTCCAGCTTCCCTCTTCTACTTTCTCCTCAATATACCTTTTTGGTATTGCCAGACCCTCCCACAGTCGAGGTGTTCCAAGAGGTGCTCCCCTGGATATGTCAAGGTGATTTTGGAAGGAAAGCCAGTTTGCTGCTATATTTGTGCTCGCTGTGCAGATGGAACCATCTCCACTCAGGAAGGTAATTGTGGCCATTGAAGAGAAACTCTGAATCATTTCCTTTGAGAAATCGCTTTCTGAAATATATGTAAATTCCATCCAATTCATCACTGTGGGTCTAAAAAGACAGAACTGTAGAGGACAGAAGAATAGAGAGTGAGATGGTCAATACCAAACAACCCATTTTCCTTCCCTTTTTTAATCCCTCTCCTCAGATGCGGAACATTGTACCAGATGTCCAGAAGATCAGCATCCAAACAAGGAGCAAGATCAATGTGTCCTCAAAGTTACCAGCTTCCTCTCCTATGGAGAATATCTGGGGAGGGTCACGGTTTCCTTAGCCCTGCTTCTTTCTGTTACAACAAGCTGTGTGTTAGGAATCTTCATTAGGTACCTGGAAACTCCCATAGTCAAAGCCAACAACAGGGACCTCTCCTACATTCTTCTCATCTCCCTCCTGCTCTCCTTCTTGTCCTGCTTCTTCTTCATTGGTCGACCACAGAAAGTCACCTGCCTTCTTCGTCAAGCAGCCTTCAGCATCATCTTCTCAGTGGCCGTCTCTTCCCTCCTGGCCAAAACCATCACTGTGGTGCTGGCCTTCCTGGCCACCCAGCCTGGAAACAGGGTGAGGAGATGGCTGGGGAAGAGCTTGACCAATTCCATTGTCATCTCCTGTTCCAGTGTTCAATTTCTCCTCTGCACCATCTGGCTGGGCACCTTTCCCCCTTTCCCTGACTCTGACATGCACTCCCAGCCAGGTCTTGTTGTCCTGCAATGCAATGAAGGCTCTGTGGCCATGTTCTACACTGCCCTCGGCTACATGGGCTTCCTGGCTGCCATCTGCTTCATGGTGGCCTTCCTGGCCAGGAAGCTTCCTGGGTCCTTCAATGAAGCCAAGCTGATCACCTTCAGCATGCTGGTCTTCTGCAGTGTCTGGGTGTCCTTCATGCCCACCTACCTGAGCACGAAGGGGAAGTACATGGTGGCCGTGCAGGTCTTTTCCATCCTGGCCTCCAGTGCAGGGCTGCTGTTCTGCATCTTCCTCCCCAAGTGCTACATTATTGTAGTCAGGCCTGACCTGAATACAAGGGAGCATCTAACAGTCAAAGAGGAAAATGGCATGTGATTCTCTAAGCAGACTTTGAAATGTTGACTATGCATATCTGCAAACACAGCAATAATGAAACAATTGGGTTTGTTTTTATTTATTTTTCTTTGTACTGTTGGATGGGATTATTCTTAATTTATTTATTTATTTTTTAAGTTTTATATTATGCTATTAGTCACCTAGAGAAACTCTGGCTATGGAGCAAGAATTAACTAATTAACTAACTAACTAATTAAATCTTTGGGAAAGCCTGGGCATTGAATGGCCCTTTCACAAAGTCCTGGAGAACCCACACCTTCTGATTCTTTTCCCTCCATTTAAACTAATCAACCTTTTATCAATCCAGCTGCATGCCTGTCTTGAAAGGTGGATAAGACTTGGCAGAGAGGGGTCCCCTCATGGCACTCTGGACAGAGACCAGTTTTACCCGTGACTCACATAGTAGCAGGGACATGCTTCTCTGGATGAGACTCCAGTACTGGCTTAACCTTTGAACACCCCCTTTCTACAGACGGGATTCCTGGCCCTCCATTCTCTCCACTCTTTGGCTAAACAGGTTTTAGTTCTTTGTGATAGCAGGGGTTTTTGTGTGGTTGTGTATATGATTCACATTGTACTGCCTTGCATTAAAATTTTGAACACCCTCAGGGTGCTTTTAAAGCTTGTCCTTCTCTTTCATATCATAAAAAATCTTCATACTCTGGGTGAATCTTGCTAAATCTAAAGTTTCATGAGACATGAGAACAGAAGTGAGTGTGTTTTGCAGGGTCACACATTGTGTTGTCTTGCATGTTGCCCTGTGTGCAGCTCCCCTCTAGAAATGCCCTAATGCACATCTTTTCAGCTTAGCATGCTTACAAGTGGCATTTTTTTCAGTCTGGGTTCACATGGACATTCCTTCAAGTAATGCATTTTGTTTTGCTCCATGGAATACTGTTTAGAAAGCTAAGCTCTCCCTTCAAGATAGCTGAACTGGATTTGGGAGATTGATTTGGGGATGTGGTCAGAGGGAGAACTAGATTTCATTGATCAACCAGGTGAAAGCCTTGGAAATGAAAGCAGCTAAATTTTGCTAGAATTAGTTTACTAATAAAGGAACATTAAGTCATGAGTATTAATTAGCTCCAGTTTCCAAGATACAACTTCCGGTCAAACTTGAATCAAAGTATTTCAAAATGACAAGGGGGATGTGCAATTATGCTCTATAACTTTTCTGCAAACAAGAGTAGTCATTTAGTTCACTCTGTGAAATTTGATGTGGTTCAGAAGGAGCATACAGTGGGGTAAAGTTTGGGTCCACTGACATCAGCGGCCCCATATCAGCTGCATCCTGCTCATTGTCTTTCTCATCATATGAGTCTAGACAGTAGGATTCTGGTAGAACTGGAATTGGCAAGTCCTCACAATGGGGTACGGGATGCAGTGTGGATTTTGTGTTTGGTTCCCTCCACACCATTGGGACTGTGAAAGGCATGGACTTTTTCTTCCTGTTAAGCCAATGAGGGGCACAACTCTTGTCCTGATCCCCTATTTTGCATCCAAACTATTGGTGGTATGCCTTTTTAACAACTGCCGTCATACTGCACTTTTGAGATGCAAATGAAACCTCACCACAAACATAGCAGAAGTTATCTGTGTTGTTTACACAGTTTCGAGGCATCTTGGCTTCTGAGGGAAAACAACATGCAACTGTTCCTTGGAAATGTTAGGCAATGACACTTTCACAAGCCACCCAATGTAACTGTATGACGCGTAGACCTGACCAAGACAAATGTACCTTGCAATAAAAGAACAATAAATTAGAGTTAGGTAATAATCTTTAGGCTCAATGTGAAGATAAATTTATACACTTCCATGTGGTACCATTTTCATTGTTCTACTGTATTTTATCAAGAAGTTATATGGCATCATGATCATCAGACACCTCCCTCAGCTGTAGGCAAATATACTCACCTGTATTTAAATCTTTATTGTGAAATATCTTGCAAACATTAGTCAACCAGCACCTTTATCACCCATCTTTTAATTCAACTCATCAAAATATGTAAGAATTAGGATATTTTACCTGAGAGGTGAATAATTCCCCAAAATTTTAGACCAGTTTTTTTTCTTTTTTGTCCCCTTTTTTGACTTCTGGATGGACATGAGTTGAGTTTTGTCCATGGTTAGAATTTCTGTTCATGACCAGCCTGAAGAAAGAGGGAAAATGTGGATCAAGGAGAGGAGAGGAGAGGCCAAAAGGTGTACCTGGAAGGACAGCATGATTCTTCCAGCAAGACTCTTCTGACTCTCTTATCCTCCCAGAATGTTTTCCTCAAATTCTGCCAGTTCCTGAGTCACCCACATGTATCAGAGGCCCCCACACACTCTGGGGTGTCTCTAGCCAACTCAGAGGGCTTTCGCTGCTGATCCTGGCCCCTCTCTCCAGTAGGTGGTCAGTGCAGCCACTCTTCCAGGAGGACACGGCTTGCTCCCACTCTCAGAAATGGAGGCTTCACCCAGATGCCACCACCAGGGCTTAGGCAGGAGGAAGCCTCCAGAGAAAGTAGAAAGTGCCATCAGGGAGGGAAAAAAATACAACCTTGTGCTCCTCATGTCCATGGTTTTAAGATTATTTAGTTATATTTGGTTAAGCTTTTACATATTGTGCATTAGTAACAGAGCTCTCAGAAAGGAGAAGGTGTTGAATGAACGAGAAAGAGTCGCCGTGAATGTGCCACAGGGTTTTGTTATATTATTTAAACTGCATACACACACACACACACACACACACACACACATGGTATCTATGAAAAACATCTCTTTTGCTGCTGCAGAGCACAAGGTGCAACCTACTTCTATGACCAGGCCTTCTTGCATGTCATCCAAGAGATCAACCAGAATCCGGAGCTCCTGCCCAACATCTCTCTGGGCTGCAGCATCTATAAGAACTTTACAACAGCAGGATAGCCTATGACATCATGCTGGACCAGCTGTCCCCTGGACCGAAGAACATCCCAAACTACTGTTGTAGGACAGAGAGGGACCTGCTGGCAATCATGGAGGGGTCTGACTCAGATATATCCGGTCATATTTCATCCCTGTTGGGCATCTACAAAATCCCACAGGTAGGCGTGGAGGGGCTGCTGTCTTCCCCATTTGGGTGTTTTCTTTGGAGAGTCTTCATCTTCTTGAAGGTGGGCACAGGAAACTCTTGCTTGTGTTCCAGTCCATGCAGCCTTTGGTCACCTATCCAGTGATAGTGACCTTACATAATGCTATTTCAGTTAAAACATTACATGCTGTATGAGCCAACAACAAGGACAACAGCTGGGAACCAGAGGAGAAAGAAGGTAGCCACAATGTTGTCCATCTCTGGAACTATATACTGAACATGTAACATTTCCAACTGGAGAATGCAGGTCTGCAGGTCATTCAGCTATAAAATCAAGCAAAATAATTAGAAGGATCCAATATTCCGAAGTAGACAATTTACCAGAAATGTAGACAATAAAATGCTGGAGCTGGGGATCATACTAGATGGCCTGGGAGACCCCTTCTGACTCGCTCTGCTCCCATGTCTCTAAGTTGTTGTGTGCTGAAGAACCAAATTCATGAGAAAGGACACTGCCACAGGCCAAAGCTGTATGGTTTCTCTGTAAGAGCAAGCAAGTGAGAAAACTCCACTAGGTTCTTTATGACTCTTTGGCTCAAGACAAGTCCTTTCCTGCCATTAAATTAAACCATTGCATTCTGCCAGGAATTTTTTTTTTATTAAACCCCATTCATGAATGATTAAACCAAACTGCTAAGTGACTTTCCCTTCCTGTAGTCAAATCAGGTGAATTGTTCCAGGTGAAGCATTCCACAGGGCAGCAGTGTGATGCAGCTGCAAAAAGAGCAAATACTATTTTAGGATGCATTAATAAAAGTATTCCTTTAAAATCATGATAAGTTCCCTATACTCTTCATCAGTCAGACCTCATCCAGAATACTGTGTCCAGTTCTGGGCATCAGATTTAAGGAAAATTCAGAAAAACTAGAAGGAAGGCCACCATGGTGATTTAGGGACTGGAATAAAAGCCCCCTGAGGAAAAACACAGAGAAATGGGCATGCTCAGCCTGCTGAAGAAAAGACTGAGGGCAGATATGATAGTGCTGTACATGTACCTCAAAGGAAGTTACAAAGAGGAAGGTCAAGATCTCTTCTTGCTGATATCAGAATGTAGGACATGGAATACTCAATTCTGGTTGCCACAAGCTAGGGTAAGTCTACATAACAGGAAAAGTTTCCTCACTGTCAGGGCCCTATGACAGTGGAACTAGTTGCCTAGATAGATGGTGGGCTCTCCCACACTAGGGACAATCAAGGTGAAACTGGACAGCCATCTGAGTGGGATGGTGTAAACTGGTGACTTGCAACAGCAGCAGATTGGACCTGATGGCCTTCATGGACCCTTCCAACTCTTCTATTCTATGATCTCTCTGTATGTGATTCAGTACACGGTGTCTTCAGGCCACCTCCTCAAATTGACTACTATGTCAACATGACACCCAAAGCCAAGAGCCAAATGCCATTAAACATGCACAGTGATGATTTCTTGGTACATACATATATTAAAGGAAAGAGGAGGAAAGAGGAAAGAGATCGCGCAGGAAGAAAGAGCTGCCGCATGTGCAGGCAGATGCAAGCAGACGCGCGCTGCCACAACATCGACGGAAGCCAGCTCCAGCAGCCAGAGCAGGCTCACGCGGCGCCGGAGCGCACTGCCCACCGGCACAGGTGATCAAGCGCGCACGGTGCGCAACAGGGCGGGACTCAGAGGTGCCCTGTGGCCACAAAACAGCAGCCGCGGCGAGGAGGGAACGGCCCCTCGGGCAGGAAACACGGATCCCACTCTGCAAGAAAGACTTCCGCCCACCTCCAGCAGCACGCTGCTCCATCGCACAGGAGGAAAGAGCCACTGTGTGTGCAGGCAGATGCAGGCAGACGCGCGCTGCCACGACGTCGACGGAAGCCAGCTCCAGCAGCCAGCGAAGGTGCACGCGGCGCCGGACCGCGCTGCCCGCCGGCCCAGGTGATCGGGCGAGCGCAGTGCTCGACGGGGCGGGACTCGGACGCTCCCTGCGGCCACAAAGCAGCGGCCGCGGCCGGGGGCAGCGGCCTCGGGCCGGTGGCCGAAGGGGTGGCGGCCGAAGGGGTCACCGCCGTTTGGGAGCCGTTAGGGGGATGAGAGGGGGGCTGGGCTGGCCAGGGACTCTTGTTGAAATAGGCTTGCCTACTGCTGAATCTTAGGGAAGGGAAAGGATTTTTTTTTCTTTTTTCTTTTTATCATTCTTTTTCTCTCCTCTTTTGAATTATTTTATAATTTTACCCTGCTTTAATCAGTGCTTTGAGTCATCCCTGGCCATATCGACTTTTATATATCCTGGGGAACACACTGGCACTGCTATTGGCGTGGTCACGGGCAATGGTCATTACAGCAATAGGGGCTTAACGTGTCCACGTAGGAGAAGGATGGACAGATGGCTGACACCTGTCCCTCCTTCTGGTTCTGCCCTCAACCAGAGGGCACCAGATAGCCTTGTCAACCACCCCTCGGGTCTGATGGTGCTGCTGCTCAATGCCAGGTCGGTCAATAATAAATCTTCCCTCATCCATGACTTGATTGTGGATGAGGGGGCCGACGTGGCTTGCATAACAGAGATCTGGGCGGGAGAGGGAGGGGATGTTGCCCTCTCCCAATTGTGCCCACCCGGGTATCTGGTTCAACACTGTTCATGCCCAGAAGGGAGGGGAGGGGGAGTCGCGTTGGTTTACCGAGCCTCCATCTCTTTCACGGGTCTTCCGGTCCCTTCGAGACCAGGGCTAGAGTGCCTCTACTTGGTGTTGGGCGAACGAGACAGATTGGGGATTCCATTAGTGTACCGTGCACCCTTCTGCCCAGTAGTCTCCCTATCTGAGCTGACAGAGACCGTCTCGGACCTGGTGTTGAGGACCCCCAGGATGTTGGTCCTGGGGGACTTCAATCTCCATGCTGAGTCTGGACTGACCGGGGCGGCTCAGGACTTCATGGCCTCTATGATGGCCATGGATCTGTCTCAACACGTCATCGGCCCAACCCATGGACGTGGACACACTCTGGACCTGGTTTTCTTGATGGGGCAGGAAGAGGATGACCTGAGGGTGAGGAACTTATGTTTGACTCCCCTGTCATGGTCAGATCACCTCCTGGTGAGGTTTGTGCTCGAGAGCGGCCTCTCCCTCTATAAGAGTGCGGACCCGATTGTATGGGCCCGCCCCCGGAGCCGGATGGATCCGGATGGATTCCTGAAGGCCCTGGGGGAGTTTCCGTCTGACAAGACTGGTGCTCCTGTCGAGGCTCTGGTCAAACTGTGGAACGGAGAGATGACCAGGGCTGAGGACACGATCGCTTCCAAGTGTCCTCTCCCACCGGCCAGAGTCCGCTCTTCCCCTTGGTATACACCTGAATTGCGGGCGATGAAGCGGGTTGGGAGACGGCTAGAGCGTAGGTGGAGGAAATCACGGGATGAATCTGACCGAACCCACTTGAGAGCCCACTATCGAGCCTATGCTGTGGCGGTGAAGGCGGCAAAAAAGAAGTTTTTTTCCGCTTCCATTGCCTCCTTACAATGCCGTCCGGCGGAGATTTTTCGAGTGGTACAAGGCCTGGATCGCCCGGGTCCTAAGGAAGATCCGATGCCACCCTCAAAGGCCTGCTGTGACGACTTTGCCAGGCATTTCAGGGAGAAAATCACTCAGATTCGTCACGAGCTGGACTCCACTAATGAATCAGAGGTCTCTGGGGAGACACCAATGCTACCATCTGGTCCTAAATTATTGGAGGAATTTCAATTATTGCGACCCGATGATGTGGACAAGGTGCTTGGATGAGTACGTCCCACCACTTGCCTATTGGACCCTTGCCCGTCTTGGTTAATAAATAACTCCAAGCACGGGATTGGGACCTGGATTTTGGAAGTGGTTAACGCTTCTCTGAGGGAGGGTCAAGTGCCTGCCCCTTTAAAGGAGGCAGTAATACGACCAGTCCTGAAGAAAGCGTCACTGGATCCAGAGATGGCCACTAACTATAGACCTGTGGCCAACATCCCGTTTCTGGGCAAGGTGTTGGAGCAAGTGGTGGCGAGACAACTCCAGGCACTCTTGGATGAAACTGATTATCTGGATCCTTTTCAGTCCGGCTTCAGACCCGGGTACAGTACTGAATCTGCCTAGTTCGCCCTGTACGATGACCTTTGCAGGGAGAAGGACAGGGGGAGTGTGTCCCTGTTGATTCTTCTGGACCTCTCGGTGGCTTTCGATACCATCGACCATGGTATCCTTCTGGATAGGCTAGCGGGATTGGGGGTTGGAGGCACTGCTTTGCAATGGTTCCGCTCCTATCTCAACGGTCGATTCCAGAAGGTAGTGCTGGGGGACTATGTCTCTGCACCATGGCAGCTATGCCATGGAGTACCACAGGGCTCCATTCTATCCCCTCTGCTATTTAACATCTATATGAAACCGCTGGGAGAGGTCATCAGGAGGTGTGGGCTGCGGAATCATCAATACGCTGATGATACCCAGCTCTACCTCTCGTTTTCCACTAATCCAGGTGAGGCAGTGGCTGTGCTGAACCGGTGCTTGGCCGAGGTAATGGAATGGATGAGGGCCAATAAACTGAAACTCAACCCAGACAAGATGGAAGTCCTGTTGTTTGGGGGATCGGGCTTCGGAGAGGGTGGATTTGACCTGGTCCTGAATGGTGCAACACTCCCTCTTAGGGACAAGGTCCGCAGCTTAGGAGTACTCCTCGACCCGGAGCTTTCTTTGGAAGCTCAGGTGACAGCGGTGGCGAGGAGCGCCTTCCTTCAGCTTCGGCTGATTAATCAGCTGCGCCCCTGCCTGGACTACGACTGCCTGGCGACGGTGACACACGCGCTGGTGACTTCCCGCCTAGACTTCTGTAACGTGCTTTACGTGGGGCTTCCCCTGAAGACGGTCCGAATACTTCAATTGGTGCAAAATAGAGCTGATAGGTTGGTGACGGGGACGGGGCGTTATGCTCACATGACTCCAGTCCTCCGTCAGCTTCACTTGCTTCCCATTGCAGCCCGGGCCCAATTGAAGGTGTTGGTTATGACCTATAAAGCCCTAAATGGCTTGGGTCCTGGCTACCTGAACGAGCGCTTACGTCCGTATATGCCCGACCGCCCTTTGAGATCTGCGGGAGAGTCCCTTCTCCGGGAACCCTCCATGAAAGAAATTAGGAGAGTAAGTACTCGGAGGAGGGCTTTCTCTGCGGTGGCACCCAACCTATGGAATTCACTCCCCAAAGAGGTCCGCCTGGC